TTGTTGAATACTTATAGAAGCCCAGTTTAACTTGGACCAAAGTCTACAGAAAAATGCTTGTTATATGATGCATTATCATTCCCAAAAATCAAATTATATCCAACAGGCTAAATGGGATCTCATGTGTTCTGCCTGATATACCCCATTCAACAATTGTTTTCTGTTATCTCTCTATAATTGCTTTACATCTTCTTCTTCTTACTTTACCACTTGAAGGATACTGTACATCTTATTTCAGTTAACCCATTAACAACTAGGGATTTTGTATAAATGGCCAATTACTCGCTAGAAGATGTTGCAATATTGCTCTCATTTTGACACTGCTCTAAACAATATGAAACATGCGCTATTTTTCTATGCAGAATCCTACTGTAGACATCGTAAGGATTACGCACCTATAACATTATCACGGTAGACCCCATAGAGGGATAGTACGAATGAAAACGAATGGGCGGTTTGGGGCGGTTTAGTTGCTAAAGGGTTAACATCCAGACAGATACTGCTCAAAGCTGTAAAGCTGCAAAGCTGCAGGATACACCAAGCATAAAGAGTGCATACATTCTGTGCAAAATTGATACTTTTCCCCACAAAGAGTTGGGAATGTTGGTATGTGTTAAATTGTCGGCAACTGTCATTTTTCATGTGAGAGCACAGCTTTTAGATCGATGAGTATATTAAGATTGAGGAATACTCTATCACATAGGCTTCTCCCCATACCAAACCCCATGAGGTGTTAAATTATGAGAAGTAGTACTGTAATCTACTTAGGGTGCTTGTAAACTAATGTGATCTTAGATTTGCCTGCGCATGAATTAGCAGGTTGGGGAAGAAGCAGGAGTTGTCGCACGGTTGTCATTTTGTTGCACAACCGACAACGCTCACAGTGGATCTAATACTTGTGAATGTCTCATGTAAGGATTGCTATTAGATATTATAGGAGTGTATTCTTCCAGGTTAGGTGGTGTTTCCAGGATTTGAGCATTGATCATGCTGCCCAGGTTTTCTTGATGCTGTCCTTGTTTCTGTTGAGAGTTAGAAGGGTACTTATGGTATGTAACATCTCTCTGGCTCTTAGTAGATGTTTGCTCGGACACAACGCCCATTTACACATCCGAAACACCATTTTAAAAAATGGTTGAATTTTTTTTACTATCGGTACTATTGACACTACTCCAAGTTTGCTCATACAGGTTTTTGGGGTGAGTAGTGCTCATGTGCGAGTTGCAGTTGCCCTGCATGTCCTGAATGCGTTAGCGAGGAGAGTCACGGGACGTAAAACCGGTATCTCACCAAATTTTGCTTTTACACTGCAAACAAAATTATTAAAAATAAACACATTCCAGAGGTGCATGCGTCTTTCGATTACGATTTTTCATCCATTTGCGCGAAACACTGTAATGTGTGAAAAAACAAAGATTTTTGGTTGCAGTGTAAGTGCAGCTATTGAATGTACTCAATATCAGTTACCCTGGAAGTACATGTAAATACTGGATATCAACCTTCATTTGATTAACTACTAAATTGGTGCATTATGAATAATGTAATAGAGTTATAGCATTTTCATAGCACTTTAAACGGATGATCACTATCATTGGAAAGCTTCCTCAAAATCAAGAAGTTTTTTTTATTAATGCTTTCTGGGCCTTGTAGATTTGACCTAACATGTTTTCATCAAATAATTCTTGATGAAATCTTCTTTTGCTCAGAAAGATGCATGCATGGAACAACGACGGTTCTTTTTATCAGGGGGGGGGGGGGTGATGATGAAGAGGATTTCAATATTCTTGGTGATCCAACCCAGTTTTTCTTATTGCCTGCTGAGACGTTATTGCTGTTTTGCTGAATTCCTTGTAGAAATTGACAGCTCACTCTGGCTTGGATAGAGAGGAAATGATTTGTTCTACATTCCGTTTGATTGGATTTGTGGATTATAGTAGTGCATGTACAATAAATTCATCTTTGATGTGGAATTATCTGCAGATTGAATATTCTTGTGAGAGGAGACGGACCGAGGAATACATTTTTGAAAAAGGATTTATGGAACTACAGATAGAGAAATTTTCAGAAAAATAATATCCTGTATAATTCACCACCATCGTGAATATATAGGTGATATAATTTCAGAAAGTGATTGAGATTCAAGTCTTTCTGTGTGCAATGTGTGATTCTTGGAATACTGATTGGATCGATTCATGATTTTGTGATTGGCTATCAGGATATCTGTTGTGGAAATTTATGTTGCTTCCGAGGTATTGCAAATGACTTACATTTCATCATCATGTTTTGCAATTGAATGAGCAGAGATCTACTCTTTTGTCCGTATCTTGGATTCATTATTTAGATTTATTTATATTCCATGATTTTTTATAAGATCATTGTATACACTGGATAAAGTTTCGAGAAAGAAGGAAGGGTTCTGCAATAAAAATAGGTTTCTCTATTTTGTCTTTTGTTATATTTGACTTGTTTAAAAAGAATGAAGAAAATGTAATTTAATTCCCTGTACATTTTGAGAGCTGGAACTTGTGTCTCTCCTGGGGGGTGTTTCACAAAGATCCTAAGTTGGACTTATCTCTAAGATGGACTTAAAAGTTATGGAAACCATTAGCATCTTTGAAAATATTTTGTAAAAGTTATTTTAAAAGGCATAAAATGTTGATTCAAATCATTCATATTTTCTATGATCATGGGAGATTTCATGTTCTTGATCTGGAATTTATGAAAAGTCTAAATTACTTGTATTTTTACTTTTTAATATATTTCATTTTTAGGCTACAAATGGCTCTCCATAATTGTTAAGTCCAACTTAGAGATAAGTTCAACTTAGGAACTTTGTGAAACACCCCCCTTGTTCTTGTGAATAATATGAATCTTTTAACATGGTAGCATGACTGCAAAAACTTCCAAGAAAATTATATCTATAGCAATTTCAAAACAGTAATATATTGCCATTAAAAACGATTTTTAAATTATTTAAGAGTTTTTGTGTAAAAAAATAATGTTTTTTTCAGATTCAGAATTGCAATAAACACTGACAATCCTTAGAGAAACTAATGAATACCTAAATGAAATTGGCTCATAATACTGGCTATATTTTGAACTTCATATTTTAAGTTTAGAAAGTAGCCTAAGAAATTAAAATGGATTCCCATTTCACTATAGGTCTGTCAAAAGCAAAATGTAGATTTATTACTTCTACTGTGTACAATTACAGGCAAGAATCATCCCAAGTGTAATTCTGCTTTACAAGAAATGATCAGTTTAAATAGGGAGCTGGGTCCTCTTTTATTAGCATTTGTGTTTTCCACTAAATACTGAATACAGTTGCTTAGGAATTAGTTAGGCAATGAGGTGACGCATTTCAATACTTATAAAATATGAGTCATCTTATTTTGAGTCATATAATCTGTTGCTTTTATGCTTGACAGCTGGTTGTTGTTATAGCTTGGTTTACTTATGATTATGAAATAAAATAAAAAACACTTTAAAGTGAAGTCATCACAGAAAAGTTAAAATTCATAGAAATTAATAGTTTGAAATCTCCTTGTAGCAAAATGTGAGTGTACATCTGAAAAAACAAATACGTATTATCTTTCAGAGCAGCCTAGTAAAATAAAGGAAGTTATCAAAAAGATGTTCTTGCTTATATAGCTTTAATAATCCATGCTTTTTTCACGGTGCTGGGTGATCTTGCTATTTTGTATGTTTATAATATGCCCTTGATTGCCATATGACTCAGACCTGTACAGTGAAATACAAAGAGTTTTGATTGAATCAATTACAAACTCACAGACTCCTGTCTTGTAATTACAGCGTCGCAATTGATTTCCAGTTACAACTGATTTGGATATATAACGCATCTGTGTATAGACATGGCCCTGGTATGACTGGACATTACATTTTGATTTGTTTGCCTTTGTCACACATTGATATTGATAACACTCTACTTATTGTGATTAAATGATTGAACAAAATAGATGATCTTTGCCTTAATGATATTTATATTCCTTAAAGCCCATCTGCACTGACAGGTGGTTATCTCATCAAATCAGCTCTCAATTAACATAAGAAAAAGGGGACCATGGGGGACCAACAGGTACCACTTGGGCGTTGTTGGCTATATAGAGGGCGCAAGTAGCTATAAGTAGTACAGTGGGGCTTTAAGATATTGTCTGCTGAGAAGCAGAAGGCATCAATGCATATATGCAGTCAAACCTGCTGTAGCGATCACTTTATAGAAAGACCACATTTCTTGTTGCCCTAGAAAAGGGTTTCTCATTGAAACCTGTAATAAAGGAACCTGTCCATAAAGACTACATGCCCATGAAGACCACTTTTCTTGTGTATGTGTGTGTGTGTGGTCTTTATATACAGGTTTCACTGTATTTCTACACAGAGCTAATGCCTTTCTGACTCCAATCAGATGAATTTTTTGATACCTTTGAGCTCTTGGTGATGGTTTCATTGGGTTGTATTGCTATGGAATATAGAATAATTTCAATTTTGCACAAGCTCTTTTATTGAAGCTATATTCCTAGGATTTGTATGATTCTTTGATGCAGCTCATGTAATATTTCAAGAAAATATGTTACCACAATGATACAATACCTGCCTGACTACTCATGGTATTTGTTGAGTGGTGGTAGACGTACGTTCGACCTGATCCCTGCTTTTAGATGCAGGGTTTCCTGCATCCAAGTATGTATTGATTTTTCAGCGTTGGAAATGATATGAGAATGAGGCTGAAAGCTTTTCTATACACGTAGTCAACCCAGACAATTATATACATAATGTTGATTGTCTGCTCAATACTATAGCACCTCTGCATTGACTGCATGCACACTCCTATTGTATTCTGGCTTCTCTCAGAATTTTTGTTATTTCAGATGATTTATTTTGTTGACAGAGTTATATTGGATTTATAGCAGGTTTGTTATTGACATGAGTTTTATTTACATATTTGATTTGGTTTTTACATTGAGTTATGATGTACTGAGTCAGATACAGTATTTTTGTCATTGTAGTAATCAATACACTTACATCACATCGTTGCAGAGTGTTTTGTGTTTTTATACATCCTTATTGTCTTTTGGTGGATATGTTTCTATGCGCCTAGAAGCAATTATTAATAGAAACATTATCAAGCCTAGAAAATGTATTTTATCTTTATAATGGTGGTCATTTTCTAAAAGATCATTTTAGGGCAAGCTACAAAATCTTGTCCTGGAATAAGTGACCTTTAAAAAGATTTGGTCGTAGGATACACTCTGATTGTTTTTTGTATTGGAAGCAGATTGTTAGCTCCGCCTGGAGTCTCATTCCAAAATATATCGACCTGAAAAAATACAAAGTGTCATTTCATCAATCTTGTCCATCTTGTGTTCTTCCTCCTCTTGCAGGAATCTACAGAAGTATGTCTACGAGGAGGCTCAGAAGAGGATGGTGTTGTCACGGCAACAGAAGTTCAACGAGAAGCACTGTATCTGTTGTTTCTCATCGTTCGGGTTCATCTTAAATAGGAAGATACAATGTCAGGTACGAGAAAATGGTGCACAATTTCAAGAGAATATCTGACACCCCATTTTCTAATCCTATTCAGTCCATGAAGTATTTTATAAAGCGCCTTTTCCATGCAAGTACAAAACACTTTATCTGTATTTGGACCACTCAAACTATAATAGACTATACTTCAATAAATCAGTTGAGCCAATGCATCTAGTTATAAGAATTAATGATTTATAGCAAAATAGACGAGCCTGTTACCAGATAATTTTTCAACCATACAATTATAGTTCCCAAGATATCAGGGACTGGGGTCTAAGAAAAGTGTGTCATATGCAATCTAAAAGTCTGTGTATTCAACGGCAAAATCAAATGGTTACTCAATATCTGTTCATCCCCATACTTTATACCATCCATCCCATTCTATTCTATTTTATTTGATTTCCTGTGCAAATTTGGCTTTATGATTTTTCTTGATATGCTGACCCATTAGAAGTGATGTCTGAAATACCTTTATCATTTGACTAGAGCAGTGCAAGCAGCCCCTATTTTATAATTCAGTTCCATCTATGCTATTTAAAAGAAATCATTATGATTAAAAGAGAGTAATGGTCTGCATCATTCTAACAGAAGAAGAAAAAAAAAGATTTTTTTTTTCATGAATTGTTTCTATTCACCCCATTTTGGAGTATTTTCTGTATTGTGTCTTTCTCACACTTTCAGTTTTGGATCTATCGTAATGTGTTTTCTGATTTAGTTTATGTCATTACTTATCATTTAGCTGCAGTTGGCTTTCTCATTATTTCTCTTTTCTCTGTTTCTCTCCCTCTATCTCTCTCTCTTTCTCTCTCTACTCTCTCTCTCTCTCTCTCTCTCTCTCTCTCTCTCTCTCTCTCTACTCTCTCTCTCTCTATCTATATCTGCTCTCTCTCTCTCTCTCTCTCTCTCTCTCTCTCTCTCTATCTCTCTGGTCTCTCTGTCTCTCTCTCTCTCTCTCTCTCTGTCTCTTTCTCTCTCTGTCGCTCTCTCTGTCTCTCACTCTGTCTCTCGCTCTGTCTCTCGCTCTGTCTCTACATGGATTCTTAGTAGGTCCATTGTCTCTGACTCTCTGTCTCTGTCTCCGTCTCTCTGTCTCTCTCTGTGTGTGTGTGTCTCTCTCTATATATATATCTTTCTCTTGTTCTCTCTAACTCTATCTCTTGGCTTTCTCTGTCCATGGACCTAGTAGGTCCATGGACTGTCTCTGCCTGTCTGTCTGTCTCTCTCTCTCTCTCTGTCTCTTTCTCTCTCTGTCGCTCTCTCTGTCTCTCACTCTGTCTCTCGCTCTGTCTCTCGCTCTGTCTCTACATGGATTCTTAGTAGGTCCATTGTCTCTGACTCTCTGTCTTTGTCTCCGTCTCTCTGTCTCTCTCTCTGTCTCTCTCTCTCTCTCTATATATATATATCTTTCTCTTGTTCTCTCTAACTCTATCTCTTGGCTTTCTCTGTCCATGGACCTAGTAGGTCCATGGACTGTCTCTGCCTGTCTGTCTCTCTCTCTCTCTCTCTCTGTCTCTTTCTCTCTCTGTCGCTCTCTCTGTCTCTCACTCTGTCTCTCGCTCTGTCTCTCGCTCTGTCTCTACATGGATTCTTAGTAGGTCCATTGTCTCTGACTCTCTGTCTCTGTCTCCGTCTCTCTGTCTCTCTCTCTGTCTCTCTCTCTCTCTATATATATATATCTTTCTCTCGTTCTCTCTAACTCTATCTCTCGGCTTTCTCTGTCCATGGACCTAGTAGGTCCATGGACTGTCTCTGCCTGTCTGTCTCTCTCTCTCTTTCTCTCTCTCCTTCCTTCCCTTCTACCTCTTCCCCTTTGTGAGAATAGAATCCCTTTTGTAAAAAATATAGATAGAATATGATTACAGTGAGCTTACATAGGACCAAGACTGTACATTGCAGAAAGTAAATAGAGATTACACATAGATTATAGATCAATTACTAATTAGATCAGTTTGACTTTGAGGTAACTTAAATAATGGCTGGATGCTAACTGAAAATTCTGGTTGCCACTTCTGACATTTGTAGGAATTTACATAATAGATCACTGAACTAAAAGAAAATGGCAAAGGTAGCAAAAATGTTAGAATTGTGTTAATTATTTCCTTGATTATATATGCTTTCTTCAGGTGTGCCAGTTTTTTATCTGCAAAAACTGCAGAGCTAAGTCGGAGAAAAAGGAGGACATCTTATGTATTGCATGTATACAACAACAGTAAGTTAAATGTTCATATTCATCTCTTTTCAAGACATGTGTTGTACCCTCAATTTTGGTTTGTAAAAAACAGTTTCTGTGACAGTATCAAAAGTGAACAATACTGTATTAGAGTGGTTGAAAAATGAGCTTGTTTAGATAATTAACTTAAAAGCTTTTTTTCCATTCAGAAATTGATTAATAAAATGACTTTAGACCAAATGGCAATACACCATTGTACTCATTTTGGAAATACAATCATATTATAAGAGGATACGTGAATGAGATTAACATCCAATTAGCATTTAAGAGCCTCCAGCGAGCTGTATTGTTTGTCAGCAGGAGGCCAAAATGTAATTTCTCTTCTGTATTATCTCTTTGTCTTGGTGCACATTTACCTCAGCCAAAATATGAACATACCATTTAATGTGAATAGTATGAGAAGACCATTCCGTGCTATTTCATCTCCGCTGTATATCGGAATGTATTACTAACTCCCTCAAAAAAACAGCATGCACGACATGGCCCTTGGCTAAGGAATGTAATTTGGAATGATAATTGAGCATTATAGAAACTCTTGCTCATTATGGAAGGGGTGCAGTGACAGTAATGCAGACAAGCCTTGGAGTCATGACGACCTTAATCAGAGGTAGAGAAGTTGTATTGTCATGTCTAGAAAAGGTCAGGGATCGACAGAAATACACAATCTTTTTTGAAATCTCTTGTATTATTCAACAAGGAATTCTCTCTTTGGGGTATGTGCACCTGCATAATTTAAAGCTGCCGTGAAAAGTTGGGTGAACTTAAAGGGAGTCATTTCTATTTGCATAGGTTCAGTTCCTGTTTGAATATTGGTTATCCAGCAATGTAGTTATGTAGATTACTGCTATTACCTCTGACAGTACCCCCCCCCCCCCTGTTTAAAGGTTAGGGCATGGTACCAAAGTGTTATTATGTGTATGAGAAGTAGGGACAGAGAGAGAGAGAGAAGAAGCGCCATGAGCATCAGAGCCTGGCGAATTCTGGCACTATATTAATATCCATATTATTATTATTATTATATATATAATATATCTATATAGAAAGAGATATAGAGGGGGGGGGGGGAGAAAGAGATATAGAGAAAGAAAGAGATTTTTTTCAGTCACTGTTTTCAAAAGCAATCAATACATTTGACGTCTTGTATTTTCTGAATACAGAGAACTTCAGGTACGAGCATGTGAGTGGTTCTATGCCCAGATCAGAGCAAAATTCAGACGATTCGGCAGTGCCAAAGTTGTACGCTCTCTCTACAAGAGAGATTCAGAAAGAGGTAAGATAAGGTTCATGTAAAATGAAATCTATGGAAAAATTCATGACATATGTACTTGTTTTAATTTGGTCTACAGCATGGAATTTTTAAAACCAAACATCAGTGAGCTTTGATGGGTAGACAATGATAATTTTGATTAATTACGATTTTTTTTATATCTTTAATATTATGCAATCTCTCACCCTCATACTTCAAAGCCGACAAAGCTGTTGTTCCTGTGAAGCGTTACGTATTAATCAAATAATACATATTGAAATGCAATTATTTGTCATCTTTCCTCAAAATGTAGAAAATTGGGACGATTAATACTAAACTTTTGGGCCCCATTTGCTAGTCATTTTTCTACTCCTGTGTCTTCTAAAGAGGGAGAGGAAATCTGACATGCAGGCCCAAAGTACACAGACGCCATTTGATGTTTTATTCTTGCTACTTGGCTTGTTGTTGCACCGATCCCCCTCCCCCCCCACCCCTGCAGGGTTTAGGGTATAGATACATCTGCTGGATGGAATACAAATTTAATAATTCCTTTGGGGTCAGACTGTCACATTGATTTTAGAATATGATGGGTTTTCTTGGGTCTTATCACTCACCCTAGAAACTCACTGCCAGCCTCCAGCGATCAAACGTTGCGAGTATATCTCTCAAGTGATGCAAAAATTCATCGCCATGCCCTATCTTATGGAGATGTAGAACTCCCGAATGTCTCTCTGAATGCCTCTCTCTATCTTTCTCTCTCTCTCTCATTTTATCCAATATATTTTATTTTTCTCTCTCCCTTGAATACTCCTCTTTTTATATATATATATATCTCTCTCTCTCTTTCTTTCTCTGTCTTCTTTCTTGCTCTTCCTTTCTTTCTTACTTATCTCTTTCATATACTGTCTTCATTCTCTGTTTTGTCTCTTGTACTCTCTTCATTCTCTGTTTTTGTCTCTTGTACTTATCTTTATTTCCTTCACTCTCTTCTTTTCTCTTTTTCTCATTTTCTCATTTTCTGTTATACTTCTCGTTTTGCTTTCCTTCTCCATGTTTCTTCTATTCCTCTCCCCCTATTCTCTCTCTTTCTCTCTGTCTCACTGTCTGTCTGTCTGTCTGGCTATCACTTTCTCTCTCTCTCTCTCTCTCTCTCTCTGCCTCTCTCTCTCTCTCTCTGCCTCTCTCTCTCTCTCTCTCTCTGCCTCTCTCTCTCTGTCTCTCTCTCTCTCTCTGTCTATCTCTGTCTCTCTGTCACTTTCTCTCTCCTCATCTTCCCTTCTATCTCTCAACCCTATTCCTATGCTATAGGTAGTGGTTCTGAAGATGAAGATAGCCACAACAGTGACTCTGGGTTAGGACGTCAGAGGAGCCCTGGTTCGTTAGGATCTAGCTTTGATCTCTCAGCTTTCATGCAAGGCCCAAGAAGTGACCAGGAAACAAACACAGGTAATACATAATGATGATGGTAATTCACAGTACATGTATTTATATTGCATTATACGTCCCTACCTCTTCACTCTCAAAATCCCAAGTTTGAACAGGTGGCCCTTGCATGTATGTTTGAATAATTTCTCCTTTTTTCATAAAATACATTTAATTCTTCCTTTTTTTCAAAATACATTAATTCAAAATTGTCTGTTCATAAAATTTCTTTACCTTTCTAAATTCCATACTTTCACTGTTAAATACATATGTTGCTACATATCTTAAATAACTATATATATATATATATATATGAACATTTTACCAAAGTCATTTCAGGATGCTTTTCATTTTCCTGTAATTATCTGAACGTTATCATTTTTTGTATGTCGATGACAAATCAGTTATATGAGTTCTGGCTGTTTTGTTCACTATTCTTCATGCATGATACATGCAGTGGTCAGAGTTTGCATGTTACATTTGTTTGTTTTCAGTCTTGTTTGTTATCCCACCCTTCCAACTGATTGGTATATTGATATGATTATATTCCTGTGTTTATGCTCTCAGTGACAATATATTTTGGATATGAATATGAGTAGGAAAGAAATATATATGAAACTGAGTAGGAATAGGAAAATGTAATTTGTGATACTGTAGACACATTTTATATTGAAGGAATTTTGAGAAAACAAAGACAATGGTGATGAAAGGTAGGATATGGGGAGTGTGCAAGATAAAAAGAAGTAAAGGGTGGATGTATTATGAATGAGGTATATTTGGGCTTGGATGAAAGATAAGGAGGGGATTGAAAATGAAGAAAGAAAGAGAAAAAAGAGAAAGAAAAAAACAAAGAATGGGATGAAGAAATGAAGTGAGGGGGCTTGGGAAAGAGTTGTCAGAAAGGAAAAGAAAAGAAGGAAGATTGGAAAGTCACAAAAAGAAAGAGGATGTGGGCCGACTCACAAAAAGACGGAGAACAAATATTTACTCAGACTTGAATTAGACTTGATTTTAGGATCGCTTGCCAGCCAATGAAGACAGCTGAGATGGGGTGCATCTTTCAACAGTCACTTAACTCTGATTATCAATGATGGTCCCTGATCATTTTAGTTTCAGACTGATGCGGTAGTCTGGCTATCTCCTCCTCGTGTTTAGATAGCGCAGGTCTCTTCTTTCAACACACAACCGCATGAGAGGAAAGTGAGTTTTTCTTATTGACTTGGAGATAAGATGGAAGGCTTATTCTCTCTATCTGGGTCAGGAGCAGAGAATAGAAGGGAATCGAACATTGGTCATTTGGAAAGTGAAAAAGAAAGAAAGCAAGATTGAACTCAAAGCAATAGGCAGATTGCAATATTTGAAAGAAAGGAAAGAGAGAGAGAGAGAATGGTACAAAATTGTAGTTTAAAAGATTTTCATGTCCTGTAATTTCCACTGCATGTGCCCCTTGACTTTGTTTCGAGGCATAGTGCAATCTTGAGATCACAGAGGAGCTGTAGTTTTAACCGGTAACCCCCAAAATAAGCTGTCAATATTTGTTTTATATACTGCATCCCTTGTGTCAATTCCCCAAAAGAAATATGTAAACAAAATATGTATGTCACACAAAGGCATCAAGAGACAATTTATATTCTCATCCATAAATGCACCCATCATCTCTCAACTTATTCATCTATTCCTTTAATTTGATACTCCATCAATAATTGATGGATAAGTATTATGTTATAGTCCTCATTTACACCAGGCAGTCTTCATTCAGTGATCCGTACATTCATCAATAAACAATAGCGCTATTTCCCTTCCATTAACACACTCATCATTTATTCACGCAGTCGATCATCAGTCGAAGCTCAGGGCCATATCCACCATTAATGTTCCCTATTCATTCAGTCATTTGCTCCTCATTTTCAAGGCCCATGTACATGAATGTAAGTATGGATTCTCTACCAAAGGCCTGTGGTCTTGAAATACAGTTTGTCAGGCTTCTACAGTGAAACCTGTATATAAAAAAGATTCACAGGAAAATTGGTCTTTAAGTACAGGTTCCTGTAGTCCAGTTTTCAATGAGAAACTATATTCAGGGGAAACAAAGAATATTTTCTTGATATTTATAAACAGTCGGTCTTTCTATACAGGTGGTTGCTAAAGCAGGTTTGACTGTACATGTATTTACTTATTTAATAAATAACATTATACTATACTGGTAAATAAGCCACTTAAGTTTGCCTTCATACATGGAGTCATGTGAGCAAAATTGTGAGGTAAAATTTAATTTTATCAGACGTCGTGTTGGGATCTTATATCGATTAATTCTAAAATAAATTATTTTCTTAAATTTACATCAAAATATAAATATGGTATTCATATATGGCCTTAAAATGAAATAGCACTTTCGCTTTGAAGTCATCTCACTCACAATGGCTGTTAAATTGGCTAATTCGATCGACACCTTCCCAAAATGAAAGAGCAGCTACTCTCCTTGTATGTCTTTGTAATCGACCCTCTTCATTCAATTAAGTGCTATTCCAAATAAGACTGCCTACGTCGATATGATAACAGGCGAGGGGGCTATACACCATGTGGTAATTGATTATTTCCCTTTAATTGGTTGTTCTGATGATCTAGAACTTGAGGCTTTTGCCGTCTGGCTGCATGTGTGTTTGAGGAAAGCAGATGGGAGGCTATTCAATTAGGGCAATGTCCTAATATTGATACATTTATCATAATAAATATAGTCTATAATACAGACTCTCCTATAACACTTTGCAGTATCATGTGTAACTAAAAGTCATGACTCTTTTAAAAGGGTAGGGATGGGAAGAAGTATTATATCATTGATGCATGCATCTGCATTATAGCTGTCCTATCATTTATTGATGTCTTTGATATACATTATCCTGATGAAAGAAGGACTTTTCAGCATTTCTGATGAAAATGATATTTTAAAGAAAAATAAGATTTGTCCGAACAGAATTTTTTTTTTAAACTGAAATTTACACATGTTAATTTTGCCAAATTCTCTATTCAAATACTCTATTCATCATCACATAAAATTCATGGGCCTATATTGTGCTAGACCAGTTGAACGGGTTGATGGCTTAAAGGTACTATGTCCCATTTGCAGGCCCAAAAAATAAAAAAGTTAAATTCCAACTGCATTTGAAAGATAATACTAATTTAGAACTTCCCTAAAAAAGGTGGGGCTTGAAAATGTCTTCAAGTGGGAAAATAACGACTATTAGTTGTCAAATCGACTTAGGGGCTATAGAGCCAATAGGAAATAGTCTTGATTTTCAGACAATTGTACCGAATGGTCGTTCGTTTTATGCTGCGCAAAGATTCAATCAGTTTAATCTTGGCCATCGCAAGAAGTGGGTTATTGATGTAGACAAATGCTCATGTACCCTTTACAACTCTTTTCATGTCCAAAGAAGAAAAAAAGCCAGTCAGTCACTCAATCGTGTCTGACAGTGAAGTCTAGCAAGTAAACAGGTTTCTTTGCATAATTTGAATATGAGGACACTGCTAATGTTTAAATTTCACAGATAGGAGATACATGACATATTCATAATTCCTGCAAAGTTCTACAGAATTTGAGGTTGGCTGCAAAAGGGACATAGTACCTTTAAAGCATGGAGTGAATCAAATTCAAGAATTTGTTATCTTGGACATGTTGGATGTCATTCTTTGTCAATTGACTTGACTTAGACCAGGCAATACATGTTTATACTTTTACTAAATACCCAAAATTGGACAGAGTATAATGTGAAAGAGTGACATTTAGCATGAACATTCACAACATCCTGGTGCCTGCCTGCAAGTGTAATGTAGCAGCTACAACGCTGGCAGAGGACTGAATCGAGAATTACCGGTAGAGCGCCAGATTGTGTTAGGAGGATAGGCAATTAAATCAAATGAGATAATTTACGTTGCCAAGTGTTAGACCATCACAAATCCAGGGAGAGCAATTCAATAAAGGGACATATACGCCTCAATGATGTCATTTCTAGATAGTGAGAGATATTTTTGGACATCGATGCTTGCGGACATGGTATCAGGATACAAAGAAAGTGAAAGCTAGATAATTATAATATAGATAACACCCTCTGCTATTTCTCTACTGTTTATCTAGAGGTGTAGAGAGAGAAAAGACAAGAGACTAAGAGAGAGAGAGACAGAGATAGAGAGAGGAAGAAAGAGAGAGAGAGAGAGAGAGAGAGAGAGGGGGAGAAGGAGAGTGAGAGGGAAAGAGGAAGAGAGAGAGAGAGAGAGAGAGAAAGAAAAAAGAAGAGAGTGAGAGAGAAGAGAGAGAAAGGAAAAAGGGGGAAGGCTGTCAGGTTATATTCTCATTCTTCAAACTCATCTTAACTATTGCAAAATTAATTGGAGGAAATATGAAGAGAGATTGAGAAGATATGGTTCCTACTGTTCAAATGAATTAAAGTAAGGCTTTATTTGCAATGTACCTGATTTGTGGGAAGAGATAACACAGAATAGAATTCAATGATCAGAGATATACTGGCTAGTGTGAAGGTGATGATTAATGATGCGGTTGAAATCATCGGTAATAACTTAATGGAAAAGGCAGTGGGCGGAAAAGATGTGGCAAGATGTATCAGGATAAAGTGGAATCAAACAATTGCAGAAACATTGAAGCTAGGGAGATAGAGAGAGAGAGAGAGAGAGAGAGAGAGAGAGAGAGAGAGAGAGAGAGCACATGAGTTCCTGGAAAGAGAAAAATATAATTAAGTGAAATGCATAAACTGGAAGGATTTTTCGATGATCATTATAGATTGTGTGTTCACTTTGTAAGATTATTTTTGTTGCATAAGTAAAGAGATCTGGCATGACACTTATCCAGGCAACATTTTTTCCAGTACCTTGTTCTGCACTTCAAGTATAAAATCTTTATTATATACTTTCTTTATACAAAATACAGCTCGGTTAGTTCTTTGTTCATGCAAAACCTCTTACGAACTACCATGTATAGCACTAGTGGATGATCTCATAGCGGAATTTTCCTAGCAACGAAATCCACGAGTCAGAGTTTAGTGGCAGCGCGGCCTATGTAATTAGATCAAGAACCAACATTGAGGATCATTGGACTAACGTCAAGCAAGTTTGATGAATACTTTCCTGAGCGTAACGAGCGCTCTATCTCTATCTTGGTTGAGATTCTGTCACCCGAATAATTGGTTCAATTTGAATCGAAGGAGAGAAGACAGCCAGGTCATAGTGACCAGAGAGAGATAAAGAAGACACCGCCAGAATTCTATTTGCGTTCAGAAAGTTTAACTTGAACTGGAGTGACAGCTAGCTTTTAATACTGTGGATTCGAAAATGGAGAGGTTTTTACTTCGACCGACACTGCCATGAACCATGTTTTCTTGTATTCTCTTACATACAAAGTAAGCTTTATCATAGAATAACAATTTTGTATGCACAGAATTTAGTATTTAAACAAATTGTTATCTTCATTTCTCTGTTGTGACACCAAGGAATTCAGTTTTGATGGGAACTAATTATCTCTTGTGTATGATCACATCAGCTGCATGATCATCATTGCAATTTATACCATCAGTGTTACCTTTGAGGGTAGGATTGTGCTCTGTAACATCACTGAATTAGAAGGATTTCTCTCTCAAATCGCACGGTCAGCTTTGTCAAACAAAAATCGTGGAGGTTTGCACATGGAGTGTTTCAAATGGAATTAATATGTGATTATATCAATGCTGTGATGCTGATGGTTAGCAGGATTGGAAAACACTTAGATACCTAAAGTCAAAGACAGCTTGAAGACTGGTAGGAGTGATGTACCATGAAATTATATTTCTTTGAAGTCCTGAAATGAATGAAGGAATGGAATATTGTCTGAGCACAAAAAATAATGCTGAATGCTAAACTAGACCCTTCAAGAATGATGTGCATGTATGCTTGTAGATTCACTATGGATTCATTAAGGATTAGATTTCATTGTTACAAGCTCTTGAAATCCAAGCTATTCTAGATATCCTTTAAAGTATAATGCATGATTACAAAGCTATCATCTCTAAACTTGCTTAGCATATCCCATCAAATCCATTGATTGGATATTTCCCTCTGCTTAATTAAAAGATATACATTTATGTCAGATGAGGGGTACTTATAGGGAAACAGTGACAAAAAACATCCTGAAGACGATAGGTATAACCTTTCAAAAAGTCGTCAAGATACAGCATGACTGGGCTCTTTTTAGGGCCCACTTACCCTGTAGAAAGAATAATGTGGTGTAACTGCAAACCTTGCTCAAATCAATCATTACCATGGAGGCCTTCAAAGATTACAAAAACAATGATTTTTATATTTTTACAAGACATTGAAATCAAAGTCTCAAAATTATATACAATATTCAAGCAGTAGGCATTAGCGAGTGAATTTTCATCCAACCCTGCAGGGAAGTTAACTTGGAATTAACTTCTCTTTATTTACAAATGTGTCGACAAGTCTACCAAAAAGGAACTTGTAACTTTATTTATAGTACATTTTGGTACTACAACTTTCACTATCTCTTTACAGAAGGAATATTTGTAATGGATAGTTTGCATATACAGTAGTGTACTTTCATGGAAGTCCTTGACAGTATAAAACAATATATCTTTTTGTTGGTAATATTTAATTATGTGAATTAATGCTGCATGTTTTTTTTATTTGTGCTGTAAATTCTATGTTTCGCATGCAACATTGTAATGCCTGTATGTATCATGTTCTTTGTTTTTAGCAATTTGTTTGACCAGAATGTTTTATACCTCCTTCCTTCTAGCTGATGTGTCTTCTATCCTCGCACATGGCTCCCCTGATTGTAAGTGTTTGCATGCTCCCCAGTGCTCTTGCTTCATGTTCTGTATATTAATTGCTAATAAATAATAATGAACTCTCTCTCTAAATGTACAGGGGTGGAAATATATATATATTTTTTTTTTGGGGGGGGGGGGGTGGGAGTCGGACATGTATATAAAGGAGTCATTCCATTTGGAGAGGAAATCCATAATAAATAAAGATAGAAGAATCTCTTCTTTAAAGTTAAGTAATTTTGAGTCATACTTTGGAGTTCACTCCACTATACTATGCAGTGGCTTCAAATCCAAAAGAAATAACCCATATTTTACTCCTAAAAATGATAATTTCCACGCCTGCACTACATGAGAATGACATTTTGCCTTAAAATCTTCATTTTTCTGTGAAAACTAATATACCAGTACATGTATGTAAAGAGTGTACATTGACAATGTTTAACAACATGTCAGGGCAATTCTGCATTAGGAAATTCTGCATCTTTAAGAGTTGAGCTGATTTAAACGCCCCAAAGGGTTAGATTTGTATGCAACAAATGTCTTAATCATATACAGCAGAATACAGTTTGAAGGATTTTGAAACAGAAAATTCCAAATAAAGTCTGCATAATTATGTCACCAAAATTATGAGGTTTGAATCTTGCACATGAAACACATGGTATTTTAAAAATCCTTTTGAAAGTAAGGGTATAATCTGATTTCACAGTAATATGATCAACCGATGGGAACAGCTCAAAAAGATCGAAACTGTTTCATGCCATACAACAGTGTGGCAAAAAAGCCATGCAATATGGTGCTATTGCCTGTGTGGAATTGTCCATCGGTTTCTGGTGCATTTACTGCTTGAAATTATGTGAATTACATTTAGCCATGTAACTTTATGAAAAATACAAAATTCTATTGTTGACAAAGAGGACAATAATGCATTTCTGAAAGAGGAAGTCCACCCTGATATTAAGTTGGTTTTAATGGAAGCAGAAAAATATGAGGAACAGGTAAGGTCAGTCAAAGTTTGAGCAAATTCCAATAAAAAATCAGAAAAATTATGAGTTTTTAAAGTTGCGATCAATCAAACACAATTGGCAACTCTGTGACATATACTTGCGAGCTTCCCTCCCATTTGCCCTGTACTAATAATATATATATATATATATATATATATATATATATTTTTTCCCCTCAAGAATATTTTCAATCATACGTGTACCCTAAATATAATTATTGCAAATATTTTTCTATTCAACCACTGTATTGAACAAGTATATTCCGTCATCAATAACAAAGAAAATGAAAGTTTATGAAATTGTTTGTACAGAGTAAATGGGAAAGGAGCTCGCAAGAGACGTCACAGTGTTGCCAATTTGTGTTTAATTGATTGCAACTTCAAAAATCCTTAACTTTCTTATTCGAAATCGGAATTTGCTCAATCTTTCACTGACCTGTTCCTCTCGTTTTCCTGCTTCTATTAAAACCAACTTAATATCAGAGTGTACTTCCCCTTTAAGTTTGTAAAACACAGAACCCAACCCAAAGTTTCTTCAGAATGACTACATCTCTGAGAGATGACGTATTGGCATTGACATTTTATGAGTCAGAGAGTTTCCTCTTAATTCAATGTTATGCCAGTATTAATACACCCAGCTATGATTATCTGTACATGCAGGTGTTGATTGGTGTGTAGTTCTCACCTCAAAGTTCTATTTACATTTCTTTAAGCAATTTCATCTTGATTGCAGTTTTTCATTAGTTTTAAATGACACTGCAGTTAATGGAAAATGATCTGTTTGATATATATATATATATGACCTGTGCCAGTTTTCAGGCAATTGAGTTAAAGTTGTGGTCCTGTGGCACACCAATTTGTTTCAATATTTCATACAGACTCCATATTGCACAGAAATTTTAGATTTTTTTTCTTTCTTCAGGCTAATTGAGTAAGACCAACTGGCTATCCATCAGGTATAAGTCTCTTTGTACAATTTCTTTGGAATGGTTTTCACTTCATTGTTATCAGAAGAAGAAAAAAACCCATAAATTCCATGACCATGACCATCACTATATGGATGGAGTTAATTTCTGTCATGTTTTTTGTTTTTTGTTTTTGTATTTCAGACCAAGACTGGCTGGATCTTCTAAGACCTCCTATGTCTTCTGTAGCTGTTCAAGCACCTCATGATAGACTAGATGAAGGTATACAATCAAACCTCTCTTAAAAATTGCCTCTCAGTAAAAGCCACCTGGATGATAACGGTCATTGTCTCCTTCTAGGAGGAGGACATTCCAATAGTTAGTTTACAAGACCAGAGATGATGATGATGATGATGAGGAGGAGGAGGATGATGATGGTGATGGTTATGATGGTGATGATAATGATAGTGATGATGATGATGATGATGATGATGATGATGATGACGGGGATGGTGATGGTGGTGGTGATGATGATGATGATAGTGATGATGGTAATGCTGGTGATGATGATGATGATGGTGATGATGATGATGATATTGATGATGATATTGATGATGAAGATGATAATGATGATGATGATGATGATGATGATGATGATGATGATGATGAAGATGATGACAGAGACTCGAGTTGATTGTTGAAGAGGTGACTGAATAGCACTTTGGTCTTGATGAGTTGGATAGTCACCACAATAAACAACTTCTCCTTAATTCATTGAACACCCCAAACACTTGATATCACATTCAAAGCAATATGTTGGTTAAAGAATTGCTGTATTTCAACTTCATTTGCTTCCATTTTTGTTTCTAGATTATTCTATGGAAGATTTAATACATCCATCTAATGCTACAGAAGCGAGATGTAGTATACCTGATGTAAGTATTTCTTTTACCTTTCATTCTTATATTCTTGTATGCCCAGCCCTTGAATACAAGTTTGTTCCGTTGGCTACATGTACCCTAAAGCTTGTATTAAATTCTAGTCGTTGAATGTTGGTATTTATTTGTTAGTTGTTCTTTCTGACAAAAATTTGAGTCACAATCTTTATTTTTGTGTTTTCAATGGAAGAATTTTTCCAGTTGTTTTATACTTTCCTAGTTATTTAGATCTGGCTTGTAGACCCTTGTTTAAGAATGTGTGTGTGTGTGTGTGGGGGGGGGGGGGGGTACTTACCTATATATTAATTTATAGTGGGTAAAGTATCAAATACTTGTACATCATATCATGGTTTACACTTTAAAGGGGAAGTCCAACCTGATCTTAAGTTGGGTTTTAAATATAAGGAGAGAAATGGGAGGAACAGGTCAGTGTAAGTTTGAGCAAAATCCAAATCAAAATAAGGAAGTTGTGAATATTTGAAGTTGCGATCGATCAAACAAAAGTTGGCAACTCTTTGATGTATTTTGCAAGCTCCCCTTGCATTTGCTCTGTACTAAACATTCTGAAATGTCTATTTTTGCCCTTAAGAAAATTTCCAATCTTACGTGCACCCTAAATATAATTGTTGCCAGTATGTTTTTTTATGACTCCTGCATGAAACGAATCTATTCCATCATCAATAACTAAGAAAATGAAAGTTTATGAAATTTTCTGTACAAAGCAAATTGATATGAGCATTTGGGACAAATAACGATTGAATGGTGTACATGTGCTATATTTGAAGTATTGAAGATTTTGTTATCATTTTATTTGTCTGAAAATATTTGTTTATTCAAGTTCAGTGTCATGTTGTCACCCCTATACTTGCCTTTATTTTGTGATCCAGTCTTATTTGCGCTTCACACAACGCTTTTTCTCAGTTTGTGCATGAGCATTCCTTATACCCGTATGTGTGAGTATATTTTAGTTTATTTGCCCTGTATTATAATTTTGCCTTAATCAGAACATATTATTATTGCACGATGTGTTGATTTATGTCTTGCTTGCCTTAGATTTGACTTAATCATAATTTCTGTCTGTATTGTAAAGATGTAAAGTCATTATATTTTTTGAGTTATAGGTTAAGAATGAATTGTGTTAGAAAATGTTTATGTTTAGTTCTATTTCTTAAAGGAAACATTTATGTTATCTTATCAGGTAGATATAAACCTAAATAAATGTGGGCTCTGAAGTCTGAACATGTAAAATAATGTTCAGAAACTGACACAATGAATCAACCAAAAAGTCTGCTGAGGCAGTTGCTTTTAAATCAAAAGTGGGTGGCTTTATAGTCATTACTTGGGAGATTGAAGCAGATATGTTGATATGACCAAGATGGCTATACTCACTGATCTGTTTGTTATCAAATACAGCAATGTGACTTATGTTATGCTTTTCTCATTTAATTTTGCGGTGCCTTAACAAAACAAAAACAAAAAATATTTTTAGCTCACCATGTCTGAATCTGAGTTCACAGGTGTACACACAACTATGGTTAGGGTTTAGACCTGGATGCCTAACACTCTCATAAATAGAACTCTGTGTTTTTGTGTAAATTAAAGTTTAATGATGTTTAGGACCAATTACTTGTATATGTATTTATCATATACATGTAATAGGGTGGATTCACAATAAATACCACGCACAACGGGCAATTTTCAGCTCGTGGGTTGACATCTTTCAACCAGTGCAGCACACCAAAGCGCTAGCCGCTGATCGAAATGACCAAAGAGGTCCAAACTTTTTAATTCATTCAATGGGATTGATTGTTTTGATATCAGCACACATTTTGATATTAAATTTTGTGTGTCAAAAACCACTCATCAATTGATTCTGACAGAAGATTTGCCCTGATTTTGGACAAAATTCAATACAAATGAAAAATTTTGACCAAAAAGTGATCAAAATGACAATATTGTTGTTGATGGGGGTCGATTTGGCCATTTTTTCTAGCATCAGGACACATTTTTACATAGAAATATTACCACTGACCAAAAGTCACAGTACCATAATGGTTAGTTCTGGCCCAAAATGACCAAAACATGTTAAGTTGGGTCAATAAGGTTAATATTTTTGGAATTGGCGCAAAATTTTTACCCCAGACAATTAAGCTATTCGAACCTTCCCCACCAAAAATTATGGATAAATCCCATTATCACTTAGTGTTGAAAACAATGCCACAATATCACATTTTCCCCATGATGCATCACATGAAATTGACTAGAAAGGCTTCTGTCGCTAGATGGCGCTGTGGATTGTAAATCCCCTCTATTAACATCTAAAACTACTGATAGGTAATTTACATTAAAGCTATATGTAAAAAAAGATTATTCATAGGCTGAAGATTGACACAGTCTTTGTAATTGCACTAATTTTTTTAAATTTCTTTTTATTTCAGAGATGCACCTGCAGGAGTGGGAATGGCAGCCCCAGTCTGATTGTTTATGATCCCAAAGGTGACAAGGTCTGTAAAGAGAAAGAGGTCCCACCTCCAGTGGCCAATGGGCGAGGAGGGGATGCAATGCTCTTTCACATCCTCTCACCCATCGAGGAGATGACTTCACCAGAGTGCTCAGACAGGAGCGAAGCAGGAAGCAAGCCAGGGAGCCCTGCGGTCGTCAGTGACTCCCCTCCTCTAGATACTACTAAGATGGGTCAGGATGCAGCTTGTTGTCATGGTGATGATACTAGCAGGGATTGCACTTTAGTAAAGGAGGGCGATGAAGAACCTGATGCAGGTGGTAGTCATGGCAATAATGAAGATGAGCAAGAGGAGGAGGAGAGTCTCATATCCCCGAGGGAGCTTGACTCTGGAATTCATCTTGCTTTTTCAAATTCTATGGATAGTGACATGAATGGTCCTTGTCCTGATGCCATTGAAGCTGATAAGATGCTGTCACAGAGACTCAAGATGCAGAATATAGGATGTTCAGAGTCCTTTGAGAGTGTTTCCAGCACCAGCTTGAGTCTACCCAGCCTAGATGCCAATGATACCCTAGATAGTCTAGAGACACATATCCACTCCTCTCATAGTGACTTACATTCACCACCACCTGACATCCATGATGACTTTGATTCAACAAACAGCACGTTGACGGGCAAAGTGGAGAACACTGAGGATGAATGGAAAGTGAGCGAGGCAGAGAAGACCAATTTGAGCCGTAGCTCCAGTGAAGATACCTTGAAGAGTGATGATGATGAAGAAGAGGGGTTAGGACCCAGGGAACTATCAATGGAAGAGTTCTTGGATCAAATCCAAACCAGGTCATCTTCCATGACAGAGGAGGAAGGATCAAAGTATGAGGATGAGGAGCAGGATCCTTCAAGCAAGAGCTTCCAAGATGGAGAAGGAGGTTGTGCCTCCAGAGAAGAAGAGTCAGAAAACAGGGACCATGTATCATTAAACCTTGAGTTTCATCCGCGTTCATTCTACAAACGCTCCAGATCCAGTGATGACTTCCGTACCATGCGAGATGAGGATCAGAATGATGATCCAGGAAGCAACAGTGATGGTGAGGACACAAAAGCAAAGTCAAAAGGCAAGCATCATAGAAATGGCAAATTAACCTCAAACCGTTTCATCCGCTACGATTCGCTCCCTCTGGTCGTTGAGGTCTATGAAGCAGACAGCAATAGTCCGTCCTTCTCACCTAACGATGTAAGCAGATCTCGCTTTGTCTATGATAGCCAAGATAGCGAGTCTCCTAACAGAGGTTCACCCAAACGTCAAATGTTCAGTCCAAGCAAGTCAGGGAAGCATAATCAACCAAAGAAGAATAGTCGTCAGATGTCCGTTGAGTCAACAACAACGGAGAGTACTCTGCCAAAAAGCACACCCATTTCCTCAGGCCCCACAACACCTGACTTTGAGTGCAAACGTAAGAACAGCCTTTCAACGGTGTCATCCGAGTCAGAGTGCTCTACAGATTCACTCAAAAGAGATAAAATCCTGTTCACCCGCCAGCTGGTTCAACAACATAAGGAATATCATCAGTCAGAAGGGATAAGACCTAGCACAAGTCACAAGATGCGAAGCCTCAGCCACAGTGATGCTGATCCAGCACCCTACAGACACAGAGGGGGGACGTCCAGCAATGGACAGCTTCAGAGGCAAATGTCTCTTCCAAGGCAGAGCAGCTTGCATGATGATGAAGAAGAAATCCTGGCAGGATACAGGAGACTAAAACAACATGAAAAGACATCTCAGGGCGTGGCTGAAGCTGAAAAGGATGTAAGAGAGCAAGAGAGATTTGAAGACGAGGAAGAAGAGAGAGATGACAGCTGTGGTTTCTCTAACAGTGATGAGATCACTGGTCTCTTGTCTGAACAAGATATCTTTGACAGTAGTGACAATGAGGAGGATGAGTTTGAGGATGCAAGCAGTACCCTGACTGATGACATTAATGGCAATGAAGACAGCAATCACAATGAAGACATTGCCAGTATTCGGGATACAGATGGAGCAAGCAAAGCGTCTTCCCAAGAAGAGCAACACTTAGAGGAAAGCCTATCAGAAAGCTTCCATGCATGCTTTGAGAATCAGTGTTCTCCGTCATGTCAGGACTCTGAGGAAGTGAATGACGCTCCTGCAGACACCTTTGATGCAAGTAGCTTTAAGGATGATATCACTGCACTTCAAGAAGATGGCGCTCATCTTGATAGTCAGAATTTGAATGCCTCATTCCACAATGACGAAGTATGCAATGACAACGAGACAAAGCAAGAGGATGAAAGTGACAATATCAATAGTATCTCTCTTCAAGAATCATCTGGGATTGATGGAGCTGAAGCTGATGCAGTGAGTGATGAGAATGATGAGGAGGAGGGTGGTGAAGGGAAAGAGGAGATGTCCTCAAGGATGTTAAAAAGGAAGGAAGAAGCTGACCTTGCAAACCTGACCTACAAGCTGGCTATCAAGCAGGGTGAGGTACTTCAGTCAGCTGAAGAGGTGCTTTCATCAGCAAATCAGGTGAATTTTCTCATATTTAACTTCTTCCTAAGTTCCCCTCCACCTATTTCAAATAATGTATACTTTATTCTAAAGTGCCTTGAATATGTTAACACTCTTGGTTTCATAATTTTAGTCACATGTTTCCTTTCAACAATCTGTTATCCCTATGAAATAATTCAAACAGCACACTCTCAATTTAGTATCATTCTTGCCTTTTATCCATATTATGCAGCCTATCTATATGTAGTTTGTCATTTGATGACATTAAACCTGCAATCTTGAAAGAGAAAAATCTTAGAAATCATTTATAATGTTCATTTCCACAAAAAAACAAAGGTTGTTTGTTGTCAAACCACTTTTCAAAACCAACAGATTTGCATGGAGATTGAAAAAGAATTTTTCAATAAATAGCTGTACATTTTAGTATTGCTAGGTATAATGTCTTCTATCTTTGATGTTATTCCTTCAATAGATGTCCAACATCCAGCATGAAGTAGATGCTCTTGATTGCATCCTGACTTCACTGGAAAGGAAGGTTGCTAAAGGAGTACTTTCCAGTCAGACCAGCAGTGAATATGAAGATTCTGAAGGAGGAGACTTGGATGTCAGTCCACAGGTGAGTATCCAGGACGTGTGTAGAAAGAGGTGGTCACTTTAAGAGTCTTGATCAGCACTAATACTGAAAGGTACAGATATCAGCCCACAGCTACATTAAGAAGATGTGGGTGGAAATCGTAGCAGAGGAAAATAAATGAAGGCATTTCCTGAGAGGTATATTAAGAGATTGTGAGTCAGACAGGTAGAGAGAGGGAGAGAGAGAGAGAGAGAGAGAGAGAGAGAGAGAAGAAAAAAAAAGAGGAAGAGGAGGAGGAGGAGGAGGAACTGGGACTATAAATTGAGAAATTGAACATTATATATGCATCAATATAAAAAGTCAGAAAAGGAAAAGAGTGTGGAATAAAATAGCTCAAGAAAATATAAGATGGGGAGAGACAGAGACCGGTGGAGGATGGAATGAGATTGCATTCAAAGGTGCAAAGCTGTTCCAGTCGTTGTCAACTGTGTATTTTGTTTAAATTCCCAGGAGCTTGTGAAGGAGGACCTCTGTGACCTAGAAGTACAACTTTCTCAAACAGACGATGATAATCCAGGCTCACAGGTAATTAAAGGATATATCTAACTTTGATGAAAAGCTACTTTAACCTTTTGATATTCTTATGAAACTACTTGCATTGTGTCATATTAAAGTTGGTGTAGGTTTTTAGAACAAATATTTCAAAGTTGTTTATATTCTTAAACTAGCATTTAGTGTTCACTCTCTTCTGGTTTCATGGTATGATTTCAGATCAATATGGCGACAGCTGTGCGTATGATCACTGCTACAGCCCTAAAGGTTCTCAATACCACCGAAGCAGCGATAGAGCTGCAACAAGATGATGCTGTTCTACATGCTCCACTCAGGGACAACATCATCTTTGATCAGGAAGACAAGGAGGTGGAGGAGGAGGAGGAAGAAGGAGAAGAGGATTATGATGATGAGTATGAAGGGGAGGAGGAAGGAGACAGTAACAGTGACTTGAATATTTTCTCAGATCTGTGTGATGACCTCTTTTTTGAGAGTGACTCTGTTGAGGATGGTTACCTGCTGAGATCAGTAGCTGATGTATTGATCGATAATGACAACAATGTCTTCCATTGTGGACTAGAACCATGTGATGATGTTGATGGTGAACTTAGCGTAGAGAAGGATCGGAATGCCAATGCTGTGCGTTTGTCACCACAGAAAAGACTTTGTGACGGTAGGTGTGGGAGTGAATTATGCCGAATGTCTGCAGCTCTTGGCAAAACTGCAGGAAGCAAATCCCAGGCATCGGAGAGAAACAGGCCTCAAGATGATGCCCAACACAGGAGTGTGTCCCAACACCCTGGTGAAAGGGATACTGGCAAAGACTTTAGGGAAAGGAAGGGAGTACTAAAGGATTCACTCAAACTCACTCTTCCCAGTACAAAGCCCCAGGAGGTGGAGAAGAGGAAACAGACTGCCGGAGGTGATAAGAGTGCCACGCCCAGCTCGGCATCCTCCAAGTCCAAGTCTCCAGAGGCTACTATATCTCCAGGATCCCGACACTCCTCGAGTCCCTCCTCAGGTCCAATCCTGCATCTCACCTCTGGACCCACATCCCCACCGACGGCAACCCTTCTTTTCTCATCCGATGAGTTGGTCTGGGATTCTGCAGTCCCTGTGAGCAGCTCAGACTCAGAGTCAATGCCACCTACAGAGATGGTTCCTGATGAAGGAAAAAACCCAAGAGATGCTGCCAGAGTGGAAATTTTAGGTAAGTTTATCATTTTTGTCACACCTGCGTAGCAAAAAGCGAAACATAAGCGCCGCGTTTTGGTGACGGCAGCGGCGGTGCAACATCAAAAACTTAACCTTGGTTAAGTTTTTGAATTTTTAATATAATTTTGAAAGTATATGTTGTTATTCAATGAAACTTGGACTAAAGGGTTATCAAGTATCCCAAATCATTTGAGAAGAATTTAAGGTCATTTCAGGTCAACAAACTTGGACTTTGTTGTGGCATCAACATCAAGATTTTGAATTTTTAGCATAATTTCAAAAGTGTTCGTTCAAATTCCATGAAACTTGCACCCAAGGGTTATCACAAATCATATGTGGCTGATCATTTGAAATATGACACAAATTCCAGGTCAAAAAGTCAAGGTCAAAGGTCATTTTAGATCGGTAGATTTGGATTATGTTTTAAAAACTTAATATGAGAATTAATACATCAATTTTTGTTATTTGTTCATATTCCATTAAAGTTATCAATCTTGGTACTGATGATTCTTAGTCAATATTCACCTCACAATGCTGATCATATTCACAGTATTATTTTTGGGGCCTGCTATAAATGGGCCACCCTGCCTATAAGTAATTTCCCAACCTCAATTTTTCATCGTATTGAATTAGGTTTCCCTTGTTTTTAGGTTTTGTTAGTATCCAGCAATAAATACACATTGCACTTCAGAAGAAAAAAAGAAACTGTATAAGTAGATGATACAACCCCAAATACACCTCCATGTAGGACAGATAACAGATATGTTCGTTGTATGAAATGTACAAGGTGATGTTATTTCCCAAACTCCTTTAATACAAACATGTACTTTATTATTTCCTCACAGATTTCACACCTAGTCCTTCCAAGAGGCACAAATCTGAGGTGTCTGTCTTTGAGAGTTCCTTCACCCCTACAAATGGAGACAGTGACTTTAGCCCGGACTTCCTCTCGGCATTTTACGATCGTGTCTCAGAACTTGAAGAGAGGGTAATCACTCATTTTTTGTCATACTGTATGCAGATGTACATGTATGTAAACATATGTGGCCATTAGGTTTTTTGTTTTCTTCTATAAAATGTCAGCATGCAACAAGTTGTTCCAGTTTTTTAATCATGCAAATTAAGATTTTGAATTCTAGAGATTCAATAAGATAGAATAGCTCCCCCCCCCCAAAAAAAATGAATCTGATATTTAGTGATCCAACATTTGTTCTGGCGACAATATTTTGCCATTTATTCCATCAAGGGTAGAGAAATAGGGATAGTGGTGCAGTTGGGTTTTGCATGAGATTAAGGTTTACCGTAATTAACGGTGTATTAACCGCCCTCGTGTATTAACCGCACCCCTCTTTTTCGCCCTAAAATATTTTATTTAAAAAATTAAAAAAAATTGGCCGACTCTGTCGGCAGCAAGCCAGGTCCGTGTTAAAAACGCATTTAACTGCGAAATGCAGCTTAATGTGTAAGATCATTAAATGTAAATTAAAAAAAACAGTAGAGGAACTAGGATAGAACCTTGTGGTACGCCTTGTAATAGAAGAAAAATGGGAGGAATTATTATCATAAACTACATATTGATATCTATCAGAAAGATTACTTTCAAACCAAGATGACAGACAAATTTGAGTGTTGTTCTACTTTCCGAGTGGTGAGTCAACACATCGATTACTGAGCTGGGAGTCATTGCCAAGCATAGCGTCAGCTGGAGGGGCATAAATCGAAACTTTAATTTTTAATTTTTTTTGTGTGTGTACTGTGTATAAACCGCACCCCCGACTTTGAATTTTTTCGGCAGCAAATATGTCGGTTTATACACCGTTAATTACGGTAAATTTCACGGTAAGGTATAGCATTTGGTCCAGAGGTGAAGTTAGAAATTTGGTTTGTGACTCTGGAGCAATGGTCTCAGGGGTATTTGTCATACAACCTAACAATTGTCCAGAAACCATGTTGTTATTTCCTTCCTAGACGTGACATATTTTACTTTGTATATGGTAGAAGTGGTGAGGGTTAGATCGAGCTAGGGGTTAAAGAGAACTTTTGGTCATACTTTGGTGTAGGGTTAGGTTAGGTTTAAAGTAAGGTATAGTGTTTTGGCAAGGGTTGAAGTTCTGGATAAGCTTAGTGTACAACTTCAGAGCAGTGGAATTAAAGATAAAGGTGAATTCTGGTAATGCGATTGCATTGTGAAAGAAAAGATGTGGAATGGATCAGAAACAGTTGATCATGTAGCATGTAAGTATTGGTGTGTACTGCAAGGTTCTGGAGTCATCAAAATCATAATAAATTTGGCGCAGTCTTGGTAAAGCAACATGCAAGCACTGAATACAGAAAGATGTATATGGGACTACACAAGTGGTGTCGGGGCTAGTACAACCTTGATTTCCTTATCTTTCTATGCTCATTACTCAGCCAGTACACAATTTCTTCCAAAATTGTTTGGCACATGTCATTTATTTATTTATTTGAGCATTTGACTGTCAAGTGGATTTGGCGCCTTATAAATCATATGTATTATTATTATTATTATTATTTGTAATCTTGAACATTCAGTGTAAGTTTCGTTTGATTCTGTGAGAATTCATTTTCTTTTTTGTTACCAGAACTCAACTTATCTTTAATAACAATAATCTGTTCTTGTATATCGCATAACACATTATGATATAACATCCCTATGTGCTTCCAAATAGCTTTTTGAGAAATGATTACCCTAGCTTTAGCTCCGGCAGCCGTTATCAACCCGCAGTGCATTTCAAGGAATAATCCTACCAAGTACCCCTTTACCTCACCTGGGTGGAGTGTGGCAAATGTTGGTTAACGTCTTGTCAAAGAACGTAAGTGTTGTGGCAGGGATTCAAACCCCATACGTTGTGATTCACAGTCCAGAGACTTATCTGTTGGACCATAACACCTTGCTGTAGCATATAGAGTATTCATACGATGATCTCTTACTCTGTGTACCATCATTAGAGGTGTCGTGGTCGAGTGGATTTGTCACCGGACTGTCGATCACAAGGTCCACGGTTCGAGTCCCGCCGCGGCACTAATGTCCTTTGGCAAGACATTGATCTACATTGCCACACTCAACCCAGGTGATGTAAATGGGTACCTGGCAGGAATTAATTCCTTTAAATGCTAGAGTGTTTAAAGCCAGGGTAATAATTGGGAGCGCCAGGAGTGTCACGTATGACATGCGCGCTATACAAGAACCCACTATTATTATTATTATTATTATTATTATTATTATTATTATCAGGTGTACCTATCAGCAGGGAAGGTCTTCACCCTTGAGGAGCGATTAGAGCAGCTTGAGATGGAGGTCAACTCTGTAGACTGTACCCTTCCAGATGACATCATGGCCATTCTAGAGGATAAGGTGGCCCTGACGGTAGCTCAGGTCCAGCAGTGTGAGAGAGAGGTAGCCTCAAGTGCCACTTACCCTTACCCCTGTGAATGCTGTCTTAGCTAACCCAACCTGCTTGTGACAAAGTTTTGTGTTGCCTTTCTGCCCCATTGACTGATAATTTTGCTTTTGTATACATGATTTGATGTTTTTATTTCTTGTTGTGTAGTAACAAGGCATTCTTTCTTTGCAGTTTGTTTCACTATTCAGTTTAAATCCGTAAGGTAGTAATACGCTAAATTGATCTCAGGAAAAGATGTGTTTCATCAAGCTGAAACCATGCAGTGATACTTTCTACAATGTATTGAACTTGGTTTATATCTGAATTGTAGTCTGTTTTCAATGCAATGTTGTAATGTTATCCTGTACTGTTTTGTGTTACTTGGGAGTGGCAGACAAAAATCTTTGCAGCGCTATCCCTTAAAGGTTTGTGCATGTTGTGCAGTTGTATCTAATCAGAACATTCTGACCTTGTTTAGTGTTGAATAAAGATATATAATTTGATCTGACTTTGTGAGCCCTCTTACCAATAATCTGTTCTTTTACTCCCTCTGTTGCTTGCTTTGCATTACATCTGAACCAACAATTTTCTTTGTTGTATGTAAATGGATTTTTGTTTGCCTGATTTAATTTTTGTTTTGATTATTGGTGTGAATGTGCAATGTCTTGCTTGCTCTGCTATGCTTTTTTTATATGATTTGCAGTGCAATATTCTAATCTGCTCTATTTCTAACTGTGTTAGTGTTGTCAGATAGCCACCTGTTCTGAATTTGCTCAATATTCTGTAATGGAAAGAAAACTCTTAAATTGTAAGATGTATATGGTTATAAAAGAGGAAAGAAGATGAATGGCACATCTAAAGTGTTGGAAAGAGTTCAATTTGATGGGCAATGTAACTCAATGCCCTTGTGGTCTCGAATACACAAAATATGTAGATAAGGGCTGCAAAACACCTGCTAAATTCATGCAAGAAAGTATTGAACTACAGTGCATACTAATAAATGTATTTGATAAAGAATTACATACATGTGTGAATGTCTTTTCCTGCAATTTCTGTCACAGTTTGTCTTGCAAATATGTTGTACTGTGTTAACGAGATAGAAATCACTTCTAAACTTGATCTAACAACATTCTGAAGTGCAGATGAGGGGTTTTTTGTGGAGGGGTTGAATATATTTATTTTCTTGTAAGTTATTAATGTGTTTAAATCATTAAAATTTATTGCATGAATGAAATTGATATTGTATTATTCAGTTTTGATTTATGTTGGGCTTGCTGTACCTCAACATCTCTCTAGTCATGTGATTTCATACACAATCATTTTGATTTGATCTGATGCGTTGGTTATGGTAGTATATAATATGTATATATGTCATATCACAAATGTGTCCTTATATGCTGAGAGAGAAGGAAGGAGGGAGGGAGGGAGGGAGGGAGGGAGGGAGGGAGGGAGGGAGGGAGGGAGGGAGGGTGGGTGGGTGGGTGGGTGGTTGGGTGATATAAAGAGAGAGACAATAGAAAAGAGTGAGATTTGTGCAGTGTACTTCCTTAAATCTCCAGTTAATAGGAGAAAAGCATTTCTAAACAGGAATGAGTTCTATAGTTGATTTAATCTTCTTTCCCCTTCCTTAACTCCTCCTTGTCAAGGTGCACACGGTAGAGGACAACATCTCCGGCCTAGACCACACCCAAGATGGCATCTTCTCTACCATGTACAGTGTAGATCACATCCCCACCACGCCCAGGAAACTAGAGAACATCTCATCGGCTTCATTCCTTCTCAATCACCCTGGTAAGAAGATAAAGATGGACTTGAATGTAGAAGGAGGAGAATATAGTAGTGGCAGTGGTAGTGGTAGGATTTTTGAGGGATTTAAGACGTGCCAAATCCACTTGGAATCAAATACTTGAGGCATACTTGTGCAGAAGATGAAATCAAATTAAATTCATAGTAGTGGTAGTGGTATTGGACATCATAGTGATAATAGGAGGAGTAGTAGTAGTAGTAGTGGTAGTAGTAGTGGTAGTGGTAGTGGTAGTGGTAGTGGTAGTGGTAGTGGTAGTGGTAGTAGTAGTGGGGGTTTTAGTTGTTTGTGTGGTTATGGGTGTGGCAGAAGTAATGGTAGTAGTGATGGTTGTAGTAGTCTTGTTAGCTCTGGAAGTAGTGTATAAAAGTGTGATAGAGAGAGAGAGATGAATAGAAAGAATAAGAATGAAAGAGAGAGAGAGAGAGAGAGAGAGTAAGGTGAGAGATGAGAAAAAGGGCCCCACTAAAACTTGGATCATGCAAGTCAAAGTATAAATGGTTTAAAGTTAGTCTTGGTGTCAATCCATAATGTGTACCGTAACTGTTTATGCAACACCAAATGATCAAATACCTTGGACTTGTCCATGAGGTTGTGGTAACTGTATCACTTGTTTACTATCTGATATAAAATGCATGGCAACAATTGACTTGGTAGGTTATACTGGGAGATAATAGGTGGTAACTATTATTCTTCTCAGTTTCTTGAAAAGCCTTTGATGTATTACATTCAGTGCTATTTTGAATTAGCAATGCTTGATTTTGGGGGGATGAAATCGCTCTGTTTATCTTTTATCCTACTTTTGTGCTTATTTTATGATTTGCTTTCGCTTTTTGTTTCTTTTGCAATTTTTATTTTTTTAAATCTGCAATTCTTGCTTGCAGCCTTAAAGCTGAATCCTTTGAATGACTTTAGCTTGGTGCAAATTGAGATTCCTGGAAACAGAAGGAGACTGAACTCATCGGCCTCTGATGGAGACATCGTTGCTTCCCCTCTCTCCTCTCCAGGCCCATTAGACGAGACTGATGGGGGCGCTCTAACAGATATGGACGACGGAGTTGTAGTCTACACGTGGGGCAATATAAAAGTTACTGATATATTGTCGGTCAAAGAAGAGGCGTAGAGGCTCGCTTGCTCAAACTCTGTTTAATTTGCAGCTTTATATGATTTTGAAAAGTTAGTTTTTGCATTTTTTTTCTTTTCTCTTTGTTGCATTATCTCTGATAAAGTAAAATATTGGGAATTTTTCACCAACTCTTTGAAGTGAGATATCAAATTTGATGTAGACAATTCTCTATTACATTAAATTTGATGTAGACAATTCTCTATTACGGTATATATCTTGATTTGGCTAAAACCCTGAAAATGTTAAGCCCAGTTATAATGTGTTTTGCAACTTACTCCATCCTAATGAAACAAGGTTAAGACAGATTTTTGTGAATTTTTGGCCGCTTCATTTCATTTGGAAAATATAGGACCTGTTTTGTTATGCTATATTCTCTACAAACTCCATACTAATGAATGGCAAATCCACTGACTTTAAAACAAATTTTTATGAGAGTAGGCATTTGCATAATGGTGAGAGGAAGATATTGGCAGCAGGGCTGAAAAGACTTTTTTTCAAATATGAGTGAAGTGGGTTCTCGATCTTTACATCGTTCGTGATATTAAAATGCATTTTATTTTAGAATGTCTCGAAATATTCCTTTGCCTTTTTAACAAAAAAATATTACTGTTACATAATGATGCAAGGTAATACCCCATTCCTATGGTGCGTTGTTATATTGTTTGGATATAAAAGTCTTAGCTTCTAAAAGAAATGAAGATATTTCTGAGCTATTAAAATTGATCATGATATCAACATGATGAAACTGGTCTGTTTCATAAGTCTGTATGCAGAAAGAAACACCAATCGTTAAAACGATGCGAGGCGATGTGCACTAGTTATCTAATATAGATCGGAATGTCTTCATTTCTTAATGCTACTATCTTTTTTTTACTTGTAGATGAAATTGATGATGAGATACATGGTCATGGAGGCCCTCTAGAGGTGAGAATTATGCATTTCAGAAGGTATTTTCCGACTGATGCAAATCCAGGGGGAGGGACACAGGGCAATGGGTCCCTGCCTGCCAAACAAATTCTGCTGTACTCAGGGCTGTCAACTTTGGGAAACTGCTTCGAGCGAGATCGTTGGCAATTCTTTTTTGGCTCAAGGGGGGGGGGGGGGTGTTGAAAAAACAAAATTGCTCTTTACCTCTCCCCCCCTTCCCCCCCCCCCCCCCATTAAGCAAAATAATTGGATACGATACGGTACGCTGGTTTACACATTTGCCGGGAGGTTTTTTCATAAACTGGGAGATTGTGGGAGAGCGGGAGGAAGGGCGTGGTGGCGGAAGTCTCTTGCTACGAGCTGGTGGGACGACGGGAGAATGAGCATGGTGGCGTGAAACTCCCTCCAAATGCGGGAGGGTCGACAGCCCTGTTTACTGTAATTACTTTATTCAAAGAGTTATGTGAGCTCTAGCTTCTCCCTGTGGACAGAGAATTCAGGATTTGCCTTGCATTTTAGATCTGCAAACTCGTTTTAACAGTTCCTGATCATGTCTTTATGGGATATATTTTCTTCTACAATATTCTTTCTCATATATTCTTTGGGCATATACTGAGATGTTCTTCTACTTTTTAGTACTGTACCAATGCCCCATGCTAGGAAAAAATAGCAGCGGTCAGACTTCCAATATCACATGCTGTAATCTATTAATTTGATGGGTTTTTTTGTGCTCTCCATGATTTTCCTCATCGTTCAGGTGAATATAATGATGATGGGAGAAGCCCTATTATTTTTACTATCAACTTGGCTCACACTAGAAAATGTGGTTATTATCTAAACACATGTCTTCACTACTTATGAAAATAATGAATTTTCTGCATTTATTTTATTGTTCTTATATCCATCTTCCCCATTTTATATATAGATGATGGATGAAACGAGTTCACAAGCAGTTGAAGTCACCCACTAAGTAGATGTCAACAAACTTTCAAGTAGACATGTCAACGAACTATTTAACCCACCTGAATTTTTACCCAAGCTATGCGGAAAGCATGTCACTGCTGTAGATGAAGGATTTAGACGATCCTGTTGATCAGATTTTTATGAACATTTGTTGTTTGGTTCAGATGTGTGTCAGCTGCATTAAATGCAATTGTTTTTTATTACTATGTGCAAATGAGTTCAGGGAATAATTTTCCTCAAATTTTTTGATTAGCAATTTCAGCCGATGGATAAATATTTCAAATTAAATTCTGTACATTTCTATGGAAGAAAACTGCTACACAAAAGATATTTTGTATAGCAGTCATGCAAAAATGCATAGCAAATTGCGATGCGATACCAGGAAAATTATTCCCTGGAGTTTGTTACATGGACTTACATTTAGTTGATCTTATTTATTTCATTGTAATGGCAATCATGTAAGATTAGCTTTCATGCTATATAGGACGACCATGGGAATACCATGTTATAATGAAAGTCACTTACTAAAACAAAAAAGCTAGTTATAAGTGAATTGTATAATGGTGGACTATCAAAAAACACTACTGTATAGTATTTTTATTTCATTTCAAAACCGTAACAAGATTTTCTTGTAGCAGTTTCCTTTCCTTGGTATAAAGAAGCACCAACACTTTAGTGTATTCTTTGATATTTTGTGTATTTATCATTTGCTTCAAAAGAACTTTTTTTTTTTGTGTGTATATGAGGGTAATGCAATAAAAAATGTATTGGAATATGTTTGCATTTTATGGAAAACGTTTAAGCTTCTGTTTTATATCTAGAATATTTTGCTAATTTGTTAATGTTTTTTAAATTATTTTTGTTTGTTTGTTTCAAAACTTCTCAGTCTGAAGTGGAGTCATATGACATGGTTTTAAAACCACAAAATCTTTCAAGCAATAAAGATATGTTGGAACATGTTATTAAAAAGTGTGTAAAGCATCAAATAAATACAAACCGTATAGAAGTTTTTGATTATCATGATAAGTTTATACTGAGGTAGTATAGAATCAAATTTCTCTGCAAGTGTGAAAAAAGTTTTCCATTTTAATGTGCCTTAAGAAATTGGCCAACCATCTCCAAAATTTGGGAAACCTACTAAAAATGTGAGAAAACTGTCCACTTTTGACTGATAATATCTCAAAACTGTAACTTTTATCCATGTGCTCATTGTGAAGTTGAAGAGAAAATTATTTTCTAAAGCAAATGGCATGGCATTCCTTTGTAAATTCTTTTAAAATAATTTTTAGAAATTATTGGGTTTTTAAAAATAATTAATTGGGACCATGAAATAATTGTGTATCAGTGATATGCTATGTCAAAACACCATAGCTCACTGGAAGTCACATCCGCCATTCCATAATTCTCAGTGCTACCAAGCATCATTACTAGCTCATAATGCTGTCCCCTAAATAAATATGGCATGTAGAATGTGAGATGTGATGGATTTTCAATATAAATCTATTTATAAAAAAAATTTCGGGCCTTGAACTATTCAAAATGTGGCATGTATTCAAATTTCAGAATGATATTTTGTAAATATTGTTTTAACAAATTGCCATGAACCTTAATCCAGAGGAAGTTTGTCTCTTCAAAACATATTGAATCATTGACAGAAGTAAGAGAAACAAACAAGATTGTCATTTGTAATCTACAAATCTGTTTATAATTATTTCCATGCAAATATTTGCTTGTTAAGCATCTAATACATGCAATGTAAGAAGTCACAAGATAGACTATTCCGAAATCTGGTAAGATTTATGGATAATGTTCACTTCAAAGATGTAGAATGCTTTAAATGCAGAAATTTGTTTAATACATCAAAATCTTAGAAATAGACATATTCATAACCAGTATGACCCAATTTTAGACAAACGTATTCATTTATATTCATTTGCATACTTATGCACATTTTTGAATAAAATGTATTAAAAAAAAAACATTGGCTTACAAATTTCGGTTACAATATGATGGTACTGCGTGTATGCCAATTGCTATGATCGTATATTTAAAGCATTCAATATGTGGAACGATATTGAGATTAAATCAAGGAAAATGTCATAGTCAATACTAGTTCTTCAAATAGTATATTCATGTATGCAACTTAATTTATGTGTTATATCTACTATATAGGTTATAATCTTTTGTAAAAGACACAAATGCTTTCTGTTTCTTATATCAGCTGTAAATACTTGTATTTTCTTCACATTACGTTCCCAAACTTCATATTTTATCATAAATGTTAGATTATCAAAGAGTATATTAAAAAAAGATATTTAAATACCTTGTGTGTATACCTTTTACTTTCATAAAGCTGACGTTAAATTTACTTTAACAGTGTTTTGCATTTTGCTTTTTATCATTTTATTTATAAATTCCATTTCAATTCTATTTCTGTTTACATTTCATTGTTTGAAAAGGGCAATAACCTCATATCGTCGCTGTTTTCACGAAGTGACGGTAGTGAAAAAAAATTGCATTCACTTTGCGTTACGATTTTCCTCACTACCGTCACTTCGTGAAAACAAGGACGATATGTGGTACTAAAATGGCATGAACTAGTACCCAAAACGGCATAAATTGAATAGAACCTTAGACATTCATGACAAACACCTTTTGTAAAGTAGACGTAGTTCCACTGAATTTCTTTTCGAATGGCCTCTGGAATCGTTCATATGAAGTTTTGAAAGTAATGCTACATTTATCAAGAATGAAGACTGTTGTTTTCTATTCTTATTATATTGATTTTCAGCAGTCTGGCAATATCCTTCAAATAAAGATAATTAATAATTTTTGGTAAAGGTTTGTTACTCTATCAGAAACACAGGCTATTAAAAGAGACTTCACTTCATTACTTCATTCAATTGGTCAAGACATCAACCGAATTTGGTCTGCCTTTTACCAGAATCTCAAAGCTTTGGCTAAATCTCGTGAACTGCAGTTACAAAGTAAGAAACAAGAACATTTAGACCAGTTCCATGGTGGACTATGTCGTCATATTGGACAGTCTGGTATGTTTCATATCTTACTTTGTTTCTGCCAAAAGGAATAAAGCTTTATGTTTTTGGTTGAGTAAAAAAATAAAGAGAGCAAGACAGAAACAATTACACGATTCTTAAAAAATCATTTGGTCAGTACAAAATGAATTCAATAATCTTTTAGATGAAATTTCAGTTTTGATGGTGCAATTTTTTACCTAAAGAGGATATTTGCATACTTCATGTTTTTCAAAAGTCTACATGCATATCACAAAAGTGGAATGATTGCTATTTGTGGGTCGTGGGTCTATGTCACATCAGTTTTCTTTCATTTTCTTTCATTTTTGCACATTCCATTTATGTTGAGCGAAGAGTGGCAATGCATTCACATAAGAATGTTAAACAGTCCTCACTTTTGTCTTCTGCATTTAATGCACTTGTAAATTAGGCTAGATTTGTGTTTATATAGGTTATAATCTCTTTGTTTATGCAGCTGTCATCATTATATTTTTTCATATTAAGTTGCTATGATTTTATGTCTTCATACAATTCCACTATTTTAGAAGCATCATTCCTGAATGTGCATTTTCATGTGATTAGTATCTAACATTAGGATGGACGTATTTGTGTGATGTATCATGTATTCCTAAGATATATTTGATCATAAAATGAATCATGCTTTAAATCTATTGTACTTTTAAGGTTTTACCATTTTTACACAATATGTAATCAATGTGTTATCCATTCGTTTGTTCTTTAAAATCGTCCAATACACAGATTGAGATGTATATATAGCTGACATGATTTTTAAATTTAGAATAATTAACAAACCCAATTGAATTGATGCATTATTGTATATGCAAATTCATATCACATAGACCTTACATGTCAAATTGAATTGCATTTGGTTTTAACCATCGATAGAATGATTGGGGTTGGGGGGGGCAGTTAGAAAAATGGTTGATATTAAGTATAATTAGATGTGATGTTTCCAAGGTCTAGAGTGTTGTTATCAACCCACCCATTTACAAGTGATTTGAACTATTGATATGAGTGTGTCTATACATTAATACCAATGTCACTATACATCCTTAAATTGTTCATTTCTTTTGTTGAAAAGAGAAAAATGTCAGTACTAAAATTTTGAATGTACAGTTGAATTATATCACAGCATGCTTTGCTGGAGCAAGAAATGTAATGTTTGTATGATATAGTAGTTAGATGTACTTGTAGCAAATGAAAGTATTATATATGTTTGCATGAAAGAATTAGTGAAGAGTCGTATATAGTTGTATAGAAAAATATTATAAACATTTAATATATTATATATTACAAGCCACTTCTTTGGACAAATACAAGTCATGTTGGTACACTTAAAATAAGATGCAATCATACAACCCTAATTGCAACATGCATATTTAGAATGAGAATTAATTCAACCATCTGACCCCGTCACTGTTATAAGATATGACCCCTAGCCTCGCTATTGGAATTAAAACATGTGAATTAACGATTGTGATCATACTTTTATAAAATGATTTGATCATGGCAATGAAATAAAGTAATTAGTGTCGCCAAATTGTGTAATTTCATTAGAATGCCCTTGATGGTTCCATGACAGCGTGTTGAATTATGAACATGGACTCGGAGAGTATATCAAATTAAAGCTGTATTAAAAGTGAAAGCCATAGAACACAATATTAATTTCCCAATAGCATTATAGACGTCATGGCCTATATTGCGTATGCACAAGGCCTGATAGAGATACTTAAACAACAAGCCATATAATTATTTGCATTTTCCATTTCACATGAACCTCCTGCTATTTATTTGTTCATTAACGTTGATTCTTCATATACAAAGCCCTATTGAACCAGGTATATTGACAAGGGAAATGAATTTCAATAAAAATCTTATTGATTTTCATTACTGGGGTTCATCAGGATTTTTTCCTATATGAAACCCATCTAATAAAGATCCGTGATAAATTTAGTTGGCATTGTTTTCAATTAGTTTGAATGTTTGCGCATAATGTGAACTTTTCATAGCGAGATTTACATCCTACATAAACGGGGGCCAGCCAACTTAATTTCAAAAATACTATCAATTTATGACAGTACTTGAATACTGGAAAAGCATTGGGGTATTCAGAATGGCTAAAGTATAAACAATATCATGTATAGAAAAACATCCCTTGATTGATATGACTAGCACATTCTATCGTAAAATATAAACATTAATTTTATCATCATTTCGTACAGTCATTTAATTACAATTTTAAAAAATGAAATTGTGTTTGTCCAATGTGATGTAACGATATATATTGTGTCTCTTCGACAAGGTATGTGGATGAAAGTATGATTTGATATCAGTGTGTGTCTATTGTCTCTCCAAAGACATGAAAACATGAACTAAAAATAATATTTCATTATGAGTATAGAGTTTAAAAAGGATGAAGTAGGAAACATGTTAAATCTTCTCTGCTTCACAGAAAATAAGTGATTCATTCATAATGTGGAAACAACAAAAAACGACAGAGAATAATAAAAAAGAGCATACTTTTGAAATATTGTCTATGAACTCAAAATCCCATGTCATCTCTATTGTACGTATCGCAAAAAAGGAAGATTTAAACATGGAAATGCCACTCGGGTCACTCACGCATTTTCACGATATTAAACACAATATACTACGTGCTCTGAGGCTCCGGGTATATCGTGAAAAGCACGTAAGGTATATTATTTTAGAAGGTGACATATCCTGAACAGATCGTGATTTTTGCCGGTTGCAAATTTGTTTTGAACATGTTGACAAATTTTGGACACGCCCGGTTTCAGTGTGATGAGATTTAGTGTGAGATGAAACAAAATGGTGATCTTTTTGTATAATGACATGTCTATGATACGAATAGGTATTAAAAAGACAACATGTTCTTGGTATGTCTCAAGGTATAGAATTGCTCTCGACTTTATTTTGTCAGGGAATAGGGCTGCAGCTGGGTTTTAGGCAAGTGTTAGACTTAGGGTTAGGGTTACGTATAGTATTTACTTAAAACTTGAAGTTGGGAATTCGGTTTAATGTACGGCATTGACCTCGAGCAATTGTCGCCGAAGCATATTTCATATACGACCCCAATACGATGTATACGAGCTTAACACGTGCTTAGCATTGTATATCAGGAGCTCCCGAGCACGTTATGATATAGTTGTTTGAAATCGTTAAAGAGGACGAGTAGCCAAAGGTAACAGTTGATGAATAAAGCTAATATCATTAAATGATTGTACTTTTGACTCGCTTTTGTTTTTATTTGTGGTCTTAATGCAGATCTATGAGATTATGATTTCATGTATTTATTATCTATCAAGTTATTTATCTATCATTCTATATATTTATCTAGTTTTGTTTATTTTAATATTTCTGTTACTACAACTTAAGAATCGAAATGAAAAGTTTTATTTGGCTTTTGCCCCGCGTGCCTAATAAATGTCTTTGCCCCCCGCCCCCCCCCCCCACACACACACACACATACAAACACCCATCCCCCCTCCCTCTCTCTCTCTCTCTCTCTTTATCTATCTATATGTCTCTTTCTCTCAGTCTCTTTCGATCCATCTCTCTATCTCCAATTATATTTCTCTATTTTTCTCTTCACCTCTCTCCACATGCTCCTTTTAATGTTCAAACGCCCATCATCTGCTTTTTCTCTCGTGATGTAATTGCCTTTAATGGTCTCAATGTTTACTGTACCCATTTACATGAAATAAGTCCGTTTGATGTACCAATTCAGTGGCGGATCCATGCAGGTGGGGGCGAATCCTTCGCGGCCCCAACCATTTTGGCGGCCTAAACAGTGGGAAAGAGAGCGACGGAAGAAAAGGCGAAAATAAAGAGGAAAGAGGGTGAAAGGAAGAACAGAGAAAGAGAAAAAAGAAGAATGAAAACGAGAAACTGGAATTGACACATCCCATTTACATTACCGATTTAAAGGTAGAAGTGCTTCCCAAGAAAACCACTAACCCTTTTCTAAACTTTCTTTCGCTCAAGACGGCCGTTTTATAGATGGTTTTGAATTGCTAAAAATCCGAGAACGCCCCCACGACACCTGGCACGGGCTCTGCCCCTTGACCCTAACCAGAAGGGCTCGCGCACACGTTGCCTTCGGCCTCTTCTTTTTGAAAATCCTGGATCTGCCGCTGCATTAATTATTGCTCAGTGCAATAGCTTTCACGGTTTATAGTGTATCATAAATCATAAACTGTTTAGTCAATCGTAATGTATCATAAACCGTACGTGGATTACGAGTGTCTTGGCAACGCTTCTCAACTTTCCTGATTTGGCGCCTTGTATTTTCTACGACTAAGTAAACTTTGCAAATGACAGTCAAACATGGAATGGGGTTCTCATTTAATTTACAGATATTAAATTACATGTCACGCAAACCTCTCAGATTAAAACAGATACCTTGCTCAATTAATACTCATGTCTAGATTCCACGTTATCTAAACCTTTTATTTAAACATGAATTGTCCAATCATTAAATGACATTAGTACTTCATTTATTTATTTATTTCAAATTTGAATTTATTTTAAAAAAAATTATTTTATTTTATTTTATTTATTTATTTATTTTTTATTTTTTATTTTATTTTTATTATTATTTTTTTTTTTTTTTTGGGGGGGGCTATTTTCAGTTTATTTCAACTTTAAAATAAAATTATTGCGAGATTTTCACAGAGAAATACAGTGCGTCCTAGAACAAACGAAACCTAGATGTTTTATCATAACTTAATCACAATTATAATTAATAAATGACATATATTTGTAAAGCTTATATCCTCCTCTTTCATTTGATGCATTTCATATGATGTATATTTCACGCATGAGTGATTAAAAACAATTTGAAGAAATAAACAAATAATCTAATATTTTGGACATCTACAAAATTATATATATGTACACATTTTGCACTAAGAGGCTAAATTTGAAAGCTAGCTTGGTCTTGTAGATTACGAGTTATAAGCATGATAAAACGCTTTATTTACAGTCATGTTGAATTGTTACCCCATCTAACCAATATGATAAAGAAATACATGTATATAAACCGTTACAACATTTATAAACTTTAGTGCCGATTATGATTATAATACTAGAACAAAAGTTTGATGTAAAGTCATTATAAATTATGCTTACGTGGCAATTTACATTCACATTGTAACATATTCATCAGTGTTCATTATTCTATACTTTGTTAGATTGGTGTATCGAGATATTATAAGAGGCTTTTTTTATTTTAATGAGAAACGTTGTTTTAAGCTCTTTATACAAGTCATGTTATTACCTATTTAAACCGTATTGTTTGTTGCTAATCTCTCCTTCTATATCTAGACGGTTATTTTCAACATAATGTAATGTGCTAGTGTTTTGAACAAAAAGGCTAGACATTTTACTATTCCCATGGATAAACATGCTGTAGAGCAGACCAGAACTTGGTCTAATGTTGTCACTGGTGCATTATCATGCTGAACATGGCTCACGAAAAAAGGATTTGATGTTTCTTGCTCTGTATGTTGAACATTATTTTGTCATGTTCTCATCGCCACCTTCCCCTACACAATGGCCCGAATTCACAAAGAAGGTTTGTCGACAAACCTAGGTTTATGTGCATCATTATTATGACGCGTTTCGACGCGTTTTTACAAACCTTGTAAACACGCGACGAAACGCGTCATATATGACGCACATAAACCTAGGTTTGTCGACAAACCTCCTTTGTGAATTCGGGCCAATGAGTCCAGTTCATCTATACCTCTTTGTCCTGGTTCGATTGTTCTGTTTGACCGCTTCTGCGGGAAGTATAGCTAGACTCCATCTTCTGTTCGAAGAGGGGCGTGGAACCACCTCTGGTGCAAGTCAGCATACCCTTAAGCGCTTCCCTGAACTGAGGATGACGGGCAGTGTAGATGAAAGGATTGGCACACGAGTTGCAGAATCCTAGGACTGTCAGGGTATGGTGAAGAGGGGAGCCAATATACGACACTGGGATGATCCCTAAGACGTAGCACATGTAAGCCACCTGATTGGGTGCCCAGCAGACGATGTAGATGATGATGACCTCAAACATCATCTTCAAGACACGGTTCCTGGCGACCAGATGAACCGTCTTCGTTGTGGAGCTTTCCTTGTTACCTTTAAAGCGGAGGGACTGAGTATGGAGCTCTCTGGCTATTAACGTCTGGCTGATCACCATTGTTAGCATTGGGATGACCATACGAAGGAAAAACCAGTAGTACGCGATGATAATCTGGCTTTCTGGGGAAGGGAGTTTGAATACACATTCGTGTTTGATAGGGTCTACTTGCTGCACAAAGAAGGCAAACATGGTAGACACGTTTGATAGAAGCCAGATGAACACGATGACAGACTGGACACGACGTCTAGTTAGGACCCGATTAAAATAAATTGGGTAGGCAATAGCGATTAAACGTTCGATAGATATGGCCATGAGGATGTAGGTAGAAGCAATGACAGTGACCCATAAGAAATACGAAGAATGGATGAGCTTGCAGTATATATTACCTAGCAATGTTGAGGGAATTCTCCGCTGCCGAGGAATTGGAATGATGAAGAAGGACGTCAAAAAGTCGGCCAAAGCTAGTCCACCAATCAGTGTATCGGTCGATCGACCAGCCGACCTCCTCTGAAAGAGCACAAGTATGACAAGGAGATTACCAACTATTCCTACAACTCCCGAGATTGCCGGAATGATGAGAAACCAAGGCCACTCCATGTCGTACCAGAGCCAGTCTGATAGGGTATCATTACCATCTGCATACACCGATGGTACTGAGTCGGAGTATTCGGGGATGTCTTCGGGAGCAGATCGTCCATATTGGTTTGTTGTCTGGTCAAGACTGGTCGGGTTTATCACATGGGATTCGTTCCAGGGCTGCGTCGATTCTCTTTCAGTTGGTTCCGTAGATGAAGAATTGGTCGATTCATCCTTCACTGGAGAGCGACGTGTGGGAACGGTGTGACCAACATACTTAGAGGTCAGCATGGAAAGCATTGGCTGAGATGTCATCAGCGGACCATTGGTAAATGGAAAACCGGTCCCTGTCTGATAGTCTAAGGTCGTTGGTCCAGCTGAGGAGGCTCCTGTGAAACCATAGACGCAAGAAATGATGATCCCTAGCAACGCAAAGGAGGGGGACGAAACGGTGAAGATGGAAGCTTTATTGGCCCTGGTCATTTTCGTCGCTGTTGGTAGGCTATCTGCAATGGATGATAAATGATGAAATAGATCCACTTAATACTTAAACTAAGATGTTCAATACCAGAAACACGATATATGAACTTGCTACTATAATAATATTGCCGAGAAAATTAGCAAGGGAAAACAAACCAGCTATAGTTGTTCCTATCTCAAGTTGATTACTAGCTGTCTAAAGCATGCATGGGTTTTAGTAAATTTTCCCCCACTTAAGTTTTATTGGGGAGTCCAAAGTACCAACGTATACGAGTTATGCATAATAACCAGTTCAGACCTAATTGTGCCAGCTTCTTTCAAAATGCATTTCCATTACCAGAGCCCAAGTTTGGAATTAAGTATTAAAACATGTTCGACATCCCCTGATAACAACAGTGAAACTACATTTGACTGTATGCTGTCGTCAAAATCTTACTTTTTTAATTACTTTTAAATTTTATTAATAATCCTTTACGATAATATCTCATTTGAAATTCAGTCTGATCTTATCACGAGAATAATTTATCATTCATCTAAGTAACTTTTTTTCGGGGGAAACCGTATAAAATTCAGAGGTAAAGATTCTAAGGGTTACTAACTACGTGTACAACAACTCTTAACATATCTGTTACTTATGATAAAATAAGAGTAAGACCTCTAGTTTACCATTCTTAACAAAGTCATGTAAATCAGGGGGTTTTTCACAAAGATCCTAAGTTGAACTTATATCTAAGTTAGACTTAACACTCATGGAAAGTCGTTAGCATCTATGAAAATATTTTGTAAAAGTTTTTGTTTAAAGGCATAGAATGTTTATACAATACATTCATATTTTCTATTAGTGAATGTCATGTTCTTGATGTGAAATTTATAAAAAGTCTAAAATATTTGAATTTTCGCTTTAGAATATATTTTATTTTAAGGCTACAAATGGCTCTCCATAATTTGTAAGTCCAACTTAGAGTTAAGTTCGACTTAGGATCTTTGTGAAACACCCCCAGTTCAAACAAGCACCTTCCCAATGTCACAATCGATGATTGTAACTATAGCACTAGAAAATAACTACGGTTTCATGTGATTAAAGTCATGAAAAAAAGAAATAATTTACTTTGTACGCTTGTAATGAAAGATATATTATGTGAGTGAGCAACAAACTTCATCCCGGTCATAAACACATTTAAAAATGTGAAAGACAGTTACACATTAGGAACATTTTCAAAGTCTTTCCGAAAACATGACCCATTTTCATCAAGCGTTTTAAAAATCATTGACTTTGTATACTTGTATTTAAGGATATATTGTGCGAGTGAGCAACAAACTTCAACCCGATCACAATCACATTGAAAATGTGAAAGATACACTTAGTAGCATTTTCAAGGTCTTTCCGAAACATGACCCATTTTCACCAAGCGTTTTAAATTCACTTGCCTCAACGGATTGCTTACCTTTCACCTAAGTGGTCATGATTTCGGTGCTGGAGTTGTGAGTACGAGTGCGTGTGGATGGGAGGGGTCGTACCCCCCCCCCCCCGTAGCTGATAACCTTTACTCTAATTTACTCAATTAAGACTGTCAATAATCATGTACATCAAGTGAATAAATCACATTTAGGCTCGAATGAATTGTTGGAAATGGCGCCGAATAAAGTTGATAATTATTTTAGCTTGGTTATTATAGGCCTTAGTAAATTGGTTGTTAGTGGCGGATCGCATGCATTCGTAGCTTATTGGCAAGTCTATGACTATTCATTTTGTTATATGCATCAATTTGTTTCATATAACATCACGTCTTGCTCCTTGATTGTTGATGAAGGAATGAAGAGAAGGTGATGAAACCTTTCTGCATCCTCTTAATCGATGGCCTTTTAAATGAGCACTCACCGAGTAACACCGATGACCACCCCCCCCCCCCCCATAATGCTAGTGCCCCCTCCATTACTGGACCTACGCCACGCCACTTCTTGCTTATCGTGCTGTCAATGAAATGTCATCATAACCCCCTCCTAAGCAATCAATGTTTTATTCTACATATCAATTAGATATAAGCCCCTTCCACCTTCCGACAAAAATACTCAGTTGTACAAAATATCCGTTTGATTACATTAATGAATCTTTTGACGAGCACCAGTCATATTTATGGCATTACACCAATCATTCGATATCTAATGAAATTGTTAATACCATGCCTCTTGACATTTGCACTGTATAAAGTGCTATTTTTTTTTATCGTTGAATGTGTTTTTTTATCGCAGGAAATTTATTTATTGTCATAATCAAATGAGGCACTGACTTCATCCAAGCAAATTGATATTCGTCGAATAATACTATTCAGTTCTTGTATAGCGCATATCACATTAATGTCCCTTTGCGCTTTCAAAGAGCTTTGGAAATTATTACCCTAGCTTTAGCTAGTAGTATATCAAAAATAATTACGATCCTTTCTTAGTACAAGATTTCTCTAAGGCTTTCAGTGCTTCTTCCATAGGTTTTATTTCATGATTTTATTACTACGTTATGACTTTCACAAAGAAAAGTCAAGAACACATTTTGATTTGGCTATCTTGAAAAAAAGGCTGCAATCCAATTTGTCCTCTTTGGGTTATTCACCAGTATGTACAAATAGCTTTTAACTATTCCCACCAGACTTAACTTGACATATACGGGCAAAAGTATTATTGTTGGCCGTCCATTTTGTATCCTGAAATAAAAAATGAATTTGGTATGTCCCTTGCCTATTCAAGGACACCTTCATTATCAATTAAGACTATCCGGTGTATTGGAGTTGACTCTAATTCACATCAATTCTATTCATGCTCGGTTTTCATTTTATTATCATCCGTAAATAATGATCTAATAATAATTGGAAGTTTTTTAGGATCGAGGATCAGGTGAAAATGCGAGGTCATAACAACATGGATCTTCTCTGCTTATGAAATTATTATATATATTAAACATTGATATTGAACTTAATGTTTTAAGTAGTAAGGATATACAAGTTTTCTTTTGATTTTGGTAAAGTGAAGAAGATGAATTATTTTGAAGGTTTGAATGCCATGTTTTACTAAAGTTTCTACTTGCTTTGTAAAAAGTATCCAAATCATCACCAATATAATCTTGATAAATTATAATTATAATATATTATAATAATTATAATTAATCATAATAAATGAAGTGAAATTTTTGTTGTTTTCTATGGGACTGTCGTGGGGTGATTTTATAAGCTCTACTTAATTTGCTTGTCTCATTGATATAACCGTACAGTTATTGTATTTCAATAATTTATACGCCTTATACATTTCTCTAATAAAATATTAGTTGAAACTCCATTCTATAAGAGTCTGTAACCTTAAAAACAACAGATAATGTAGAATCAATGTCGTCGTTCAAAGTCCTTAAAAATAAGCTATTTATTCTATGACATCCTTAACACATTCTGAGTGATCACTTTATCCCTATGTTCTTCTTGTCGAGAAAACAAATCATAGGTTCAGAAGTTCAAAGCAACTCTATTTCACTACAATCATTTTAATTATAGTTTTCTATTGATATATCAATTAATTTCGATTAGGAATATTCAATCATGTAAACCATACTGAAAACGTGTATTTGGATTCATCGTGGAAAAAATCAATGCTCTGTTTATTAGCCAAACGTGTCGTGCTGGTTATTAGATTGCTTGTGATAATTGATCAAAACTTTGATGACATGTATTTATATTATCAAATCGCTTCTCTGTGAGTTTCTCTCTCTCTCTCTCTTTCCTCCCCCTCTCATGTTCTTTTTTTTGTTGTCATGTCGCATATGACATTCAATTTGATATTTCCAAGGAAGAAGTATATATATATGCAGGGCCCCGTCTTATAAACAGTAGCGATTGATTGGAGGACTTGCAATTGATTCGGATCAATCGCAACTCTTTATAAGACGGGACCCTGGTCAAAAGTTTTGGTAAACCATTGATACAGGTTTAAAGACAATATCAATGTAATTTTTATGGAATGTTTCGCTCCTTCGAAGTGAATTTGTCTATCGATTTGATGATTTAAACACTCAAATTGGTCAAAAGAAAAGATAGGAATAGGGTAAATAAATGCCAATAGTTGTTATTTACGACATATAATGATAACTTTACCTCTACCTTGTCAAGAAAGGAAAGTTTATATTTGGTTGTCATGTCTTTTTATAGGGCCTTCTGGTAGTACTTTACTATAACCATAAAACAAATCTTCGCTACTATTTTACTTTCAAGACTATAAAATGCTGTCTAAGCGTCCCGGACGACATAATTATACGGCCTACAGTAAGAAGAACCATTACTTCAAATATCAATTTAGAATTCGACTCTGAACCCCCCAAAGCTTGTGTTGGACGAGTCGAATAGAAAGGTCTAATCAAGATCACTGAATCTTTCTATAAATGGATATTTGAAGTAATGATTTTTCTGACTGTAGGCCGTATAATTATGTCGTCCGGGACACTTAGACAGCATTTTTTAGTCTTGAAAGAAAATGAGCAGTGAAGATTTGTTTTATGGTCATAGTAAAGTACTGCCAGGGGGACCTATAAGATGATAATGACAACAAAATATAACTTTTCCTTTCTTGACTAGGTAGAGCTAAATTGATCATAATATGTCGTACATAACACAAACATATGTGATTATCTGGAAGTTAAAACTTATGGTCAAATATCACTGAAAATGTAATTAATGCATATTCTAGCTATTAAAGAGGAAAAACGTCTTTTTAAAAAAAATTCACAAGCCTAGATTAACATATTCAGGATATGTCGTAGGGACAACTTTGGAATTACCCCTATTACTAGTATTTGAAAATATGATTGAAACTCTGCTTATTAATTTTATGTGCGACAACATCTATTTTGTAATAATAAATTGACAAAGTTTGAAAAATGTCCACCATTTCTTTCTAAAAATGAGCCTTCAAAATCACCATAATCCGAAATCTGAATTAATTTCTATTTTGTAATAATAAATTGACA